AATCACCTCAATTTACAGACGTGCCGAAGTTGACTTCTAAATCTTGAAAATTCTAGTACGATTGTTCTGCACTTTTAAAACGCTATGTACTCGAAGTAACATGGTACGGATGATTCTGGGAAACATATATGTGCAGGCGTTGTTGAAACCGTCGTGACGGTGGGCGTTGCCCCGTCGGTCGTTCGGGGCCGCCACGTGAGGCTCATGCGTTGCAAGTGCCGAGGGCACAGCAACTGGCGCTCGTGAAGGGTGTCAAGCACTCACAACGACCAGAACCTGCTATGGCAGAGACAGGCCCACACCGATAGGTGTTTGTGACTGTTGGCGGTCGGTCAACCATCCGGATACGACATATCCCACCCCAGCAGTGGACTGGATGAAATTCCCAAGATTTAGTATCAAACGGGTGCACGTCCAACGCGGCCAGCCGACGGCGAATGCAAGCAATGGACGCGGTCGGTGACGAGATATCCCCGCCGTCGTCGCCATTGAAGGCACACAACCACCATCATCGGTCTCGAAAAGGTGAAAAGCGAGAGTCACCGACTCGACAATCGTCGTTGGAGAAGAAGGGGTGGAAGAAGCAACACGATGTGCCCCAAATGCAATTCATCGACTTTGACGTGATCAAAGGGTGAGTTCATGCATATAGCACCTCCATGCGCTGACGAAACGCCGTGATGTACGTAGCTCAGCGTTTTTCAACACGAAGCCCAGCAAGTACAACAAGGAGCTTGTACGACAGGGCTTTTACCGCGCGATCTTGTTTCCGGTCTTTACTCGGTACTGGCGAGAGAAGGCACGACGATGTTGCAATTCGTTATCTCCACCTCACCGCGCCAGTAGGACCCACTCTTCTACGCTGGAGCGACGGTGGTGTACGTGGTGCACGTTGTTGCAGCCGCCTTGTATCTCGCCGACGACCGCAATGAACCAGGCCCACTCACAGCGTTCGAAATATGGACTCCTGTCGTGCTTCTCATTCTAACCGCGTGCGGATACGGTCGTGTATCGTCGATCGTGCTGTCCGCCGATCCCGAAGGCAGCATGAGCTTGAACGGGCATTTGCAAGCCATCAACCTCCATTCGCCTGTGTCAACGCCACAGGCCGGGAGCAAAGGAAAAACATCGCGCGAGCATGTGTCTGTTGTGGACGGATCAACGAATGATCCATCGTTGTTGGAGTCGGAAGGTTCGTCTGGGGAAAGTGGCGACAGTGACAGCGACGACGGGGCATCGTCGTCGTCGGACGATGAGGTGCCAAAAGCTCTGGACGAGCACGACGACTTGCCGAGTCAATTTACGGTAACGACACTGCTATCCTCGATAGCATCCCTTTCAACATTTTGTAGCGAAGTCGACGGCACGGCGCCCGAAGGTTGAGCGAATCCTCGTTCGGTGCTGACCACATCACTCATCGCCGCGTCAAAGTTTGCGTGTGGAAAGGCAATCAGGTCGTGAAAGAAGCCATGTCGATCACGGAGCTGCGCAACCACATCCTGCTCAAGGTAGTCTCTACATGGATCGAGTTGGTGTGCTGTGGGACGCCTGAATGAAGTCGTCTTGGGTAGGTGAAATCGCAGCCACCGCGACACTTGTATCGCACAGTCGCAAAGCTGAGTGGGTGTTTGGTGGCGCTCGTTCCACTGCTCTTTCGCGTGCTGCAGCGCTTTACCGACCAAAACATCAACATCTACGACCCTTACGTGTTGTACGAGGTTGGTCAGTCGAGCCATGCTGCCTGTGGCCTAACTTGTCGAACCAGGCGGTCCCTCTCTTGATGTTGAAAACGTCACGGCTTCCACTTGCCGCCGTGACCCAGGCAGTTCGCGATCACTTGTGCTTGGAGTCTCTCCTGTCGATCTCGTGTACGTTGGCAACGTACATCATGGGGAGCGTCATCTTTTCGGCGCTCGCGGATGCCGAAGTTACGTACCACCGACGATTTCTGTACGCCAAGTGCTTCACCGCCCTGACGTCGTCGCGGCGGTCCAAGGCGTCGCACTTGCCTCATTTTCGCCTGAAGAACGTTGTCAACATCAAAGCGTGGCTGAGTTTACGCGGTGGGAGGTCGTGGCTCAAGCGGCAAGGACGGCAGCGCGCCGCCGATGAGATCGTGTCGACCAGTTTTCTCATTGTGCTGCTCTTCTTGGCCGTCATGGGGGTCCAAGCGGTGTCGGAAACCATCCCCAACACATCGTCGCAGCTGTCGACCGTGCTGCACACAGAAGTGACTGTGTGGTGCTTGCTTTCGAGGTGGGCGTCGTGGTTTTCGTGGTGTTCCTCACGCAGACGTAGTGTGTTTTTGCTGCGCTTCATGATGCTTGGGTCCAACATCAATCGCAAGTATCAAAACACGTCGCTCCTCTTGACCGAACAAATGAACGTGTATCTCAAGTTGCTCGTGACCCCCGAGAAGAAGGAGAAGTTGCTCATTTCCAACAACGTGCTCAAACTTGCGAGCAAGCTGCTCAAGGTATCTCTCGTGGACGCACAGGCGCCTCTTGCCTCACCGTCCATAGGAACTCAATTCGCCAAACAAGATCTCTGGCCTCACGATGAATCCGCTCTTGTACAACGTCACGCGCGTCGTCGTGCTGTCCGCGTTCTCCTCGGCCCTGTCGGAAGTGTTTGGGTTCAAGCTCAAGTTGTGGAAGATGAAAGTGTAGCTATGTTTGGAGAAAATGAACTACACTTTCGGGCAATTTCAGGCCGTTTCCGTCTCATCAGTACATAGACCTTCATTCCGTCCCGGGACAGCTTACAGCTCCCCGTTGCCGTAGGGCAGCTTCCATTTAAATCAGTACAATGTGCACAATGCAACAACGGCTACTGTCCTTTGTTCCAGTAGAGTCACTTTGGTGGCAAAGGCACCTCGCCACGAGACCGCACCCTGTCCCAAATCTTGCTGGGACTACAGAACAACGTCAGGAGAACGATTGTGCTTCCGCGGCGAACGGAATGATGGTCTTGTACTTGCAAGACGGATAGACTATTGCGCTGGCTCTCCGTCGACCTAGATGAGTCGGAACATGCGGCACTTCATGCCAGAAGTCGCCGATGAAATCCAGCCGACAGGACGATTCAAACGGCACCACTGCGAGGAGCAGGCGGCGCCTGTGTTTTTATTGAGTGGTGCGTTGGCCCTGCACCACGAAATCTCCCTTAGAGACCTTCTCGACCCAGTCAACCTTTCGTCGGTTCAACAAGCCATCCTCTGCTGTGCCCCCATTCGAATCGACCGCGTACCACATGCAGTTCGTTCTGAAGAGTGTGCGTGCTTTGTTGTCTTTTACCGCACAGCTCCAAAAATGCCCAACATGCACAGGCCCCTCCATCGTGTGCTGATTGTTTATAAGACAACGTAGAAGCCATGCCGCGATTCAATCGAACAAGTCTTGCAATGCGCTGCCCGTGAACTCTGTAGGTTGCGTCCTCTTTCTCATAAAGCATGCGATCGGGTGCGCCCGTTCCACGTCTAACGCCCCCCCCCGCCCGCTTGTAACTCATCGCGTCGCCGTTTCTCTTGGCAGGTCGGCTGAAACGATGCCGCCTACACCTGGACACGAGGCTTTTCGCTTGGACCTGGTCGCGTGGTTCATGTCTTGGTTTTGCAAACCTGATCATCTCCACACCATGTCACACATGGCATACAACACCACATGCAGGATTTCTCGCATTCCAATCTATAGCAGAGCCAGTGTTTGTAGTGGACGTCGGTGGCAGTCCATGTGCCCTTGGCGATGTGGCTTAAAGTGGTTTGTCGGCGGGTTGGCTGGCGGAACACGCTCCACTGCACACGCACCCCCCACTGGATACGTCTTCTTTGCTTGGTCCTTCGTTCCATCAAACCGCGTGTCGTGGTACATCCAGCACCATGTTGTATTGCGGCTTCCTGCTATCCCATTGTCGCCGCGAATAGTTACTGCTTCAGATATACAACTCGGCGTAGTATATACGGCATGAGAACGGCCTCGGTCGACGCGTGCTCGTCGGCGGTGCGCTCGAAGTAGTCGTCGTAGACTGAGCTGCTTGGTGGCGGTTCGACTCGGGGTGGTCGACTTGGCTACACGAAGGAAGGGGACGAGGTCAGGCAGAGATGTCGTCGGTTGTTTCAACCACTCGATTCCCTCGGATACACACAGCCGCATGAGTCCATTACTGGCACATCGAGACGAGTCAGAGCCGAAACGATCCGGAGGCGGCGGCGACCTACGCCCAGTTCGCCTACCCATTGTCGGGACACCGGATGTCCCGCGACAGGTCGGTAAAGTGCGAGAGAAATCGCACTTTGCAGATTTTATATGGGCATTTGTATGGAAATGGGGCAAAGCAAGGCCCAGGGCGGCAATATCTGGATGTTCCTGAACCGCTCCGAGACGTCAATGACACACAATGGATGACGGCGCCCACAAGCGAATTCCACGTGCATGCGTCAAATGCTGTCTGTGGTCGACCAACACAGCAGCACGCACGTCTCGACAGTCGCTGCTGTGTGTAGCACGAAGAATCTCGCGAGTTCTGTGTCGCTCAAACGCCGCCGCGCTGGTGACACGAACAGCTTGGAAGCGCTCTCGCTGACCCTCAAGATGAAATGCCTTGTCGTTGAAGCTCACATGACCGACATGAATGTGCAGGTCCTCGAGCGCAACTTGGTCTCGATCGCCAACGAGTTGGCGCTCCTGTTTGTGTTTGGCATCCAGGACGAGCCCACGTGCACGCGATTCCTCCATTCGGCCTACGACCGCATTGACAAACTCATGACGATGAAGAACATCCACGACCGTCGGCTGTCTTCGACACCCGATGCGCTTTGGACGGAGTCGAAGCATCGCGCAATATCCGTCCACGACGCCGACGTGAACATGAACGCGTGCTACGAGATCACTTTGGATGACATTGCTGCATTCTGGAAGCAGATGCAGCTTGCCAAAGTCAAAGCCTCTGCATTATGGAACGAAGACAAGCTCCAAGATGCGCTACCATACATGCGCGCCGCCGACATGTACTTCAAGCGCCTCCACATCAAGTACCAAAAGCTCAACCTGGACTACGCCATGATCGGCGCCCAGTGCATTGTCCCCGTTGAGTCCAAGAAAGTCAAGCGGGGCCGTGTTTCGTTTGCAGACAAAGTAGAGTTTGTCGGAACTGCAGAAGCCGACGTCGATCGGTCTCCCATCAGTCCCACCAAACCAACGCCGCTGGAAGCATTGCTCTTGCGTGCATCTCGCGAGTTCCCCATGCCGTCCTTTTAGACCTTGACGGCAACCTTATTTATTCATGTACCACTAGCCATGATGGCCTCCATTACACTCTGCTGTCATCATCTCGACTTCTCGTGGCGCCATCGTTCTTCAACATTCAGGTTGGCATGAGGATGCAGGGCCGAGTCTCCATTGATCTTGGCTTTGCACCACCTTCTACTGCCTTGAGTTGGATCAAGCCACTGGGCGGCGGCTTCCATGCAACGTCCATGCGAGTAGCATGCCACAGGTACATGCGACAACACTGCTGAGATGCGCTGCATGCCTGCATTCTGCTGGGGATTCGGCGCTGGCCACTGTGGACGTTGAATTGCATGGGTCCATTCGCGCAGCGGTCAGCTGTTCCTTGCAAGAGGGGCATGGCTTCCCATGCGTATGGAACGATCCAACTGGCAAGGATTCCTTCCACCAGTCCATCCGACGACGTGAGAGGCGCTGTGCGGATTCGTCTCACCAGCGGCGTGGAATATCTCTGCGAACGCCTCCAACGTTGTTGGATCATCCCTCGCATCGTCCACGAGGACGTCTCACTGTTCCGTCTTCCCCGCCACCGCGTGTGGTGTCGAAAGCGTCGACCACGTCGGGCTGTACAGCAGGATCCACTGGTAGACATCTACCATCACGTAAGCTGTGTGTGCTGTCGGTGCTGCTAGGGCAACCGACTTGCCTTTCTTCATCCTACCGATCTTGTCAGATCATGCCAATACCCTCTTCGATTCCTTCAAACTTGCGCTTACGGTGGAATTGGATGTCTACACCGCTGGACCTGTCACTGAGTCGTCTGTGCTACCTCGAGGGTGGGTCGAACCTCCCACAAATATAAAGCCACAGATGGAGCCACCCGTTTGAAGGTACTGCTGGACTCGGGTCATGCAGCCTTCCGACATGAACCGTGATCAATTTCAGCAGACTCGACCTGTTCGGCCGCAGTGGAGGCAGCATCGGATATACCGGCCATTGTAGTGAAGCCCACCGCCTCGCCAGGTGACACCTGCTGCCACATGGGGTCAACACCTCCATCTCATGCCCTTCCAAGCGTTGGAAGTGCACGAAATTGCCACCGATTACCCGCTCTTGCCTCTCCATGGATGAGCAGGCACTTCTGCGCCATCGTAGTCGTTGTCTTCGGCCACTTTGTCGTACACGTCGTGCACGCACGCGCATATTCCACCCGACACGGGAACTTTTTCGGATTGAAAGACCAGAGAAAAACAGCGCGTGACTTGGAGCCCCGGGCCCTTGGTCGATGACCAGGTTCCACCTGCTTCGACCGTGTGGAGTCCCCCTTGGAATGAATGACCGAACATCTTGTCGAAGCAAGCATAGCTCAGCACACTTTAGCTGTGGCTACAGGTACGATCTTCAAAACGAGATCACTTTTGACCGAGTTTTGATCATGCCGCCGCCTACTCGACGCTCTTCTTGCTCGACAACAAAGACCACAGTCGGTACGTCCGATTTGGTATCGGGATGTACAATGAGGCTGGTAATGTCCACAGTCGGTATGGATAGCTCGTACTTGACTCGACGAGCTCTGTCGATCCAAGGAAAGCTCATTCATCGCTTCGATCATCGATCTGAGGCCTCTGTGGACAAGCGACGACTATGGGCTAGATAATGCAACCAACTGCAGCTTCCATCGTGTGCAATCGCTCCGTCCATTTCCAAAGTTCGCGTTTTGGTCGGTCTGAGCACGACAACGTTGCTGAGGTGAAGATGCCACGACTCTACCGTCGCCATGGTAGAATGCGAAGACACGAAGATATCTAAAAGTGACCAGGATGGCACTTGGCGCTTCCCGCGTTCTAGCCCAGAGAACGCTGTGGCGAAGTGAGATGCACACCTCAATGAAGCCACGAGCGGTGCAGACGGCGAGGCCGCTGAAACAAACGTTCTGTTCATGGAAACCGCGCACATTTCCTAATTAGGATCCATATCCACGTTTTCATCCTGGCACCGCCGACTCGTTCAAGATCACGATGATTGCGTCGGAAGTGTTGTACGCCGAGTTCGGTACGTGGTTGGGGACGCGACGGAGGAAACTGGGACGTCAGCCATGCAGTAGACATCGACAAGGGCAGCACGTTGCGTGCAAGCTTCCCCACCGCGCCGGATGAACTCGACAAGACGGTGCTCCGCACGCCCGAGTTCTTTGCCGACATGATGCTCCCCGAAGGCGTCCATAACCGCGAGCAAGACTACACTGTGTTCTTCATCCACAAGGACTCGACGGTCAAGTACTGCTTGAGCGTGGTGAAGACGCTGCACGACGCAACGGTCCGTCGTGGTGCGCGCGTGAAAGCCGTCGCCATTTGCTCCGACCATCACGTACATGCCCGACCCACGAGATAACCGTTTTGTGTCGACGATTTGGCTAGTTCTGCATTGCATTCAAGGACATTCTGACCATCGCGATCGACAAGTTGTTTGCTCTGGGGTCTAACGAATCGGCGGCATCAGCCACTGACGTATTGCAATCTCTCTACGACGTCATCAACGCTGTCGACGTGTCCGGAGTCACAAACCTTCAACAGTCCGAAGTCGAAGTGCGCCTGCTCAAGCGAACCATGTGCGCCAAGCCACTTGGCGGAGCCGTGCACACCTCGGACGAGTGCGTGGTGGTGCACGTGTCATCACAAGAGGATCGCTCCCAAGTGCTTGCGTAGGTCGCTCGTATACACGACCCACGCGAGTTGGGGAAACGAGTCGATCCCTCTCAAAATCAAGCTCTGCAACACGCAAGATCAACACGAAGAAGGGTCGCTCATCGACCTGATTGCCAAGTTTGGCGACCAAACCATGCAAATCTACAACGCGGTCCTCACAGGCAGTCGGATCATCATGCTGGGGTACGGTCTTCCTGCAGGTAAGCTGCCCCAATCCGTGGACGCACCTCGTCATAGCATTCACCCAGGCAAGGTCTGCAACTACGTGCTTTCGACCAGTGCGCTGTTGTGTCCGCCGCTGCTTGGCCTCATTCACCGCCAGCACCCGTACGCAAACTTGACGGACTTGGCTTTCTTGTCAGTACCTGGGTACGCTTCCACGTCACGTTGCGAACGTTATGTCGTTGACTGGACATGCGGTCGACGACGGGTAGGTACATTGCGGGCGTGACAAACCCAATGTTCAAAGGTCGAAAGGAGTGGTGGGATGTGCACTGCGACTTGGCGACAGGCGAGATCCTGGCGTCGGTGCCCCCGGAGAAGGACGACGCCGAGTCGATCGACCACGATTTCATCGCGGAAGTTCGTTGTTCTTTGGATTCGGCTCCATCGAATGATCCCACCGCTTAATGGACATGTAGGTGATGGATGGCATCGAAGCGGGCTTCAGTGAGTCGTGGGTTCGTTGCATGTTTGAGGAATACACGCGTCAGGTGGAGATGGTCATGTGTGATCGATTGGCACGTGACGACGAGAGTAGAATATCGTGGACATTGCGATGGGGGAAGCGAGCTTTGTTGACCAGGACGCCCAAGGCAAGCGAACGGCGCTGAACAACAAGCGTATCACCAAGTGGGCTCGAACGGAAAACTTTGAGCGATATGTGAAAGCCCGAGACCAAGCTCTGCCAACCACGCCCGCTTTCGATGCCAAGGCCCGCGGCACCGACTTGAAACGCCACTTGCGAACGCTCATGCACGAAAAAGTGCCGGATGACGCACAGGTCGAACGCATTTACGTCGACTTTGTCACGCTGCTTAACACTGAAGACGAGTTCAAGGAACTGCTGAGCTACATACCTCGGTCCAAAGGTACATCTTGAAAGTGACACCAGGCGTCCATCTTGACGTCATATGTGTAGGAGGCCTCCACGTTGTCGCTCAAGGTCTCTTCCATCGATCTATCTCCGTCAAGTACAACACGATCGTCCTGCTCAAGCGGTTGGAATCGTTTGACTCGACCAAGGAATTCGTCCATGCACTCAACCCATTCGTTGCCACGATGTATTCCCAGCTACTCACCACTGTATTCGAGCCCAAGGGCTAGCAAATGAACCAACTAACACCCTTCTGCTTGACCGTGTTCACTTCCTCCTTCCATCTCGCACGCTCCAGGTCAGATCCGGCCATGCGCTTGCCCGACCTGGTGCAAACAATGTCCAATCAGATTCACGTGTGGCAGAATAACACCATACAATTGGTGGAAAAGAGGATGACAATTCCGATTGACTGTTTTCCAAGCGAGGTCATGACTTCGCCCGCCGAGCGGCCTGTGGATGCGTTCCTCTTGGCCCTCTGCGGTAGCAACTCAGGTATAGCAGCAATGCATCCCATGTTGCATGTGACGACATGCACTCAATATGGCGACTGCAGCCAGGACCGTGGGTGGTGTGCAAACCTCGTCGTTCGAAACTTCGCTTGTTCGCACGATTGTCCACCCTACGCACTTGCACACGTTGTTCACGGACATCCTTGAGGTCATCGACGAAGGACAACAGGTACGCGTGTGCATCCACAATTCTTGCAGCGTGAACTGACACGTGTTACAGACCGAACTGCTCAACTCGTTGGTGTTCATGGTGCGTTGAGACTCGAAACTCATTCTTACCGAAGGATTCAACGAGGGCTGTGTTACCAACAGGTGAAGCACGAAGCGTCGAATGCGCATGCGTGCATCGAAGCGGGGTTCCACCGTTCGATTGTGTCGTTTCTCGAGTCAAGGGGTCTCTGGCGAGGGTTTTCTCGGCAACTTTTGACTCGATTGCTGTCTCTGTTGCTCCACATATCTCAGTACTCGGTCACCTCCGATGACATTCGAGCTATGTTGCACGTGTTTCAGAGCAAACGGTACGGCATTTTGCTCCATTTTGAGTTCACAGTGGCCTCACGTAACGTCGTCTTAAGGATGAAGGATGAGGCACCGGACGAAGTCGCCGTCACAGCGTACATTTCAACGCTGGAAATGATGGCGCGGAGTGTCACCGGGCCGTCGACGTATCTGGAGCTGTCCGGAGACCACTCTGGTTTCTCGATTGCATCGATAGACGCGATGTCGTTTCCTTCCGCGGGGTACACGCTATCGGCATGGCTCCGGGTCGAGTCGGCGCCTGGCCTTAACGCACCGCTCTTCTCGCTCTGGTTAGGTTGCGCACGCCAGGGACATCATTCTGACGTGTGTGTGTATCTCTCGATGTGTAGCGCCGAGAGCGGCGTCGGAGTTGAAGTCAGCTTCATGGAGACGACCTTGGTGATCAAGGGCCTCGATCCAAAGAAAAACGAATACAACGAAGTGCAGGTCCCAAATGCGCTTGTCAAGCATCAATGGTACCTGGCATGGCCCCGCCCGTTCTTGGCTAACGAAGTTGTCTTAGGCAATGGATTGTCGCAGTGCACACGCACCGCCAAATTCGAGGGTCCAAGCTCGAAGTATACATCAACGGCGACTCGAAGCAATCATATCGATTCAACTACCCGAAGGAATCGGGCGCGGCGTCCAAGATGCAGTGCTTCGTCGCGCGGGCCAAGAATGCACACAGCCGCTGCCTTGTCGCCCAGATGGGCCCCGTCGCGTTGTTTTCGCAGCCATTGCCCGCTAGTCTTATCGAGGGGTAGGCGATTGTTTCGACGGCTGGATGCCTTCACGTTCGTCGGTCATAGCATCAAGTCGTTCAGCGACTACGACAACGTGGTACTCCAGTTCAACGCGTCGGTGGCGTCGTCGCACATGACGACGTCGATGGCCCTCCCCAGGTGAAGTGGATCCGATCCCCACTCAACGTCCGGTCCCTTGGCAATCTATCTCAAGGTCGTTGTTCTAGCACACTGACAACGCTACCCTCAACGTCAACGGCCACAGGCCCCGATGGCCTCGTCTTTGCGTTGGACGCGCGGAATTTCGACGCCAAGCGCAGGATGCTGCTGGACTCGAGCGGTCACAACCACCACGGTGAAAACAACCAGTCCACCGGTGTCACGCCATCCATTCGCGTGCGGGCCACCACGTCGTTCAAAGACTCGATTTGGCAAATGGGCGGACCGATTGTTCTGTTTCCGCTGCTGCTGCACCCGAACACCCAGTCTCATTTTTTGAACGCGACATCGTGCCACACGATCGCCCGGCCCCTTGGCATCACGAGCATTCCAAAAGTGATCAGCCTTGTCGCTGAAACCCTGCGCCATTCGTTGATCAATAAGGTACGTACGTCCACGAAATCGGCACTTGGTCCATCGATCACACACTGTTCCTGCGACTCCCACAGTATACGTGCCGCCGGTCGCAAGGGATTCCCATGCTGGCATTACTCATTGGGTCGTTGCCTCCGTCGTACCTCACAGCGGACTTGGTCGGTGCCATCGAGCGGCTGTGCAGTGCTGTGTCGTCGGATCGGTTTATCACGGACGAAATCCATCGCAACTTGCTGTACAACTTTCGTCTGTGGGTCCCGGCGTCCCAAGACATTCAGGTACGAGATCGTGTTGCAACGGCAGGTTCACGGGACATGGGCGGTGTGCGTGCGTAGGACCTGATCTTTGACAAACTCCACGTCGCCCTCAAGAAGAAGCTCGTGCTGTCGTCGGTCGTGTCGATTCGATACATGCTGCGCCTCCTGTCGACAAACTACCAACAGTCCAATATGCTCCACGATGCCCCCCCCATCGGCGGCATGCGACTGCGTATTCTAGAGACGATTCGCATTCTGTTGTACGACCCGGACGCTTGGGCCAAGGCGCAAGCCACCCAACGCAAGTATCAGCTCAACACGATCATCATGGGCGCGGCGTCCGTCCACTCGATGGGGGTATCGTTTGACGCGGCGCGGACGTTGATTTATAGCATGCTGGGCAAGGCTACGTTCCCGCAAGGAATCGTCGACGACACGATCAAAGCCGCCGTGGTCAGTGAAGCCGAGGTTCGTTTTGCCTCGTCCATCCCCAACGGGCCAACGATGTTCTCTAGGTGGATGCTGGCGCGATCCCTGAACACGTTGCGGAATCTGACATCCCCGACCTGCTCCAGATTCTGGTCGACTTTTCCATCACGCCCGAGACACAAACAGAGTTTCTGAGCATCTTTGAACGCCTCGGCGGCCTCCGCATTTGGCTCCCGTTGGTTGCAACAGTGAATGCACCCGTCCGTCGCATGACGCTACGGCTGCTGCGAACTTACATAATCATTAAATGCAACACGCTTCCCAACGCCAACCCCAAGGTAGTCGCCGTGACATGTCCGCATCGATCCAAAGCTGACACTTTATCGTAGCCGTCGCTGTCCGCCGTGGATGTCCGCATGATCTGCGATTCGCTCCACGTGGCAGAGTACCCGCTACAAATGGGGAGCTTCAACGAGCTCATGTCGCTTCTCCTGGGGATCGACTACGGTGATCCATCCGCAGACCCGTCTGCGAACAGAGCAGAGGCCCACGACGACGCTGACATGCTATCCGACGACGTGTTGCTCGCGAGCAGCATTCGCCATCCAAACATGGTCGTCCCGATGCTAGAGCTAATCCAGCAATGCCCGCTGCATTTTCGATGGATCGCGCTCGAGTACTTTAAGCTGCTCTTCTCCGAATACAACGCAGAAGGGCTGGCGAATCGTCGCGTGCTGCTCAACTGTTACGCCAGTCAAGGCTACGCCCCTTTCCCCGTCGAAATCCTCTTTGCGAGCTTCCTCACCGAGGCAGTACCGACGACAAAGGAGCACTTTGCGCACGCTTTTCCTACCGTCTCGACTACGGGTAACTACCCCACATTACTTGGAGTCGAACGGCTGACAACGCGATCACTAGGGCTGCATGACGAGCCCATTCTACGGCTTCGGGATCTCACGTCGAAAGTAGACCAGTCCGACGAAGCCCGTCTCGGCGCGGCACAGGCGCTGATCATGTTGGGCGATCACCAGTCTTTGTTCGATCTATTGCATCATGACGGCGCTCGATCGGAGCAGCGTCGACGCTTTAAGCATGCCAAAGATGCGACCGCCCTGTCGGACCGATTGAAAACTGGATTGATAGTCCTCTTGAGCTCGCACGCCCGGTCCATGTCGAAGCAGTACGTGTCAACGTCGTGCATGGACCTGATGGCGAGAATAATTGTCCACGAGTTGAAAGCGAATGAGAGTGCGTACGAGTTTGTCTTGCACCCGTTCAAACTCATGCCAACTGCGCCGAACGTTGTCATGGCGTGGTTGAAGGTCCTCGTGGACCGCGTGGCCGCCATGATCGAGGCGCAAATGCCGCCAAAGGGGTCGCTGTGCTGGCGCAACTTCGACAACATTTGCTCGATTGCAACGTCAGTCGTGTTACATTTCGACCCGTGGGCCCAACAGCCGTGTCGACGCAACTCGGTCGACGTTGCGACGACGTCGTGGAAGACCAACGACGAGTATGTCAAGGAGCGTGAACTCAGCGACGCCATCTTGAACGTGTGGCACAAGTGCGCATCTCACTTGAACTACGACAGTGACGCATCGTTCGGTCGGACTGCGCAGGCGCGGCCAAGCTTGTCTAACCAAGTGCCAGTCGTCACGCGGTCCACGAGCACTGGTGCCAAGCGGAATTCCATAAAGGACCAGGCGCCGACGTCGGCAACGGGGCAATCGACGTCGCTGCGCCAATTTCCTGGCGGTTCCATGCGCCAAGTCTTGGCGTTGATTCTTCGGTCGATGCACATGACGATCAAAGACCAAGACATGTTTCTACGAGGCGACGGCGAATACGACGAGGACGAAGATGGCGAACAGACCGCGCCGCGCCGTCGAAGTCGCGTCAATTCGTCAGTTGCGCTGGACGCCGTGTTTGTGTCCAAGCTAACAAAACTCGGCTACTTTGTCGACATGATGCGGCTGAGCGAGTATGTCGCCCCAAAGGAAGACGCGTCGTTGGTGTTGTGGTTGATCTTGGAGCTGCGCAACGTCATGGAGGAAGCCCTTCGACTGAGCTTGACGGATCCACGGTGGGCAGAAGGCGTTCGCCGCAGCCTCGAGGTACCCAATCCCCCTTCGAAACCACAACACCCATTTCGTTCGTCTTGTAGCTGATGTCTCGGATGCTGCAAACACCCGTTGACACGGTTGATCAACTTCGTGCGCTGCTCCAACGCGACGACTTTCTCTTTACTGAATCCGAAGTCACACGTCGTGACTTGTTTTACCAAGAATACCTCGAGACGTCCCAGGAAGTTCGTCAAAAGAAGAAATCCCTGGTCCTCGCAGTCGTCGACTACGAGCGGGAGTGTGCCAAACAAGCGGTCGATGTGGTCTTGGCTTCGGGCATCCAAGTAGGCTAGTTTCCGATCGCCGTCCACGATCTGAATGCCTTTTTGTGATGCAGGTGCGGCCATCCAGCGACCCGGTCTGGCTCCAGCGCATCCATGCAAAGGATGCCGACGACTGGATTAAGCTCGAGCGCGTGCTGCGGTGGAACATTCGACACGTGTGGGCCATCGATGAGTCGCTGAGCCTTGCTACGAGTTGGCAGCTCGACTCGTTCACGTCGTCCAAGTGGATGCGGTGTCGGCTCTTGCCCGACGTAGACAACGAGCAGCCGTACAAGAAACTCCCCCGACCTCACACGTCCATCCATACATTGTATGGCTACGACGCGTTGGTCAAAGATGCCCTGGCGACCGCGGCGGCAGGCTTGTCGGTCAGCGCAGACGACGAGATAGACGAAGATAGCCAAGACGTCGAGGGCGACGAGGACATTCTAGTTGTGATGGGACGACTCGCCGATGAAGTCGACGACGGAGAGACCGCGACTGTCCCGGACGTTCTGGTGGACGTGTCTTTGAGTAGGTCGTCCACAAGTTCCCGCGATGAATCGATCTTGGGCAGTGTCCCCGCGCCTCCGTTGACGGAGGAAGCCGCAGCGACCAGTGCGGCGGCGACCCCACCGCCGGCTGTTGGCGAACCCGTCAAGCGAACTTCCATGTCGTCGCGATTTGTCACCGGGCTGCGCTTGCCTATGTTTTCGTCAAAGAAGGCAGACAAACCCGTGGAAAAGACAACGGAAGCGAAACCAACGGATGACGCGGACCAAGAAATTGTAATCACTGAAGCCACAGCGACCATCCCCGCTCCATCCACCAACGACGAAAAGGCTGAGCCAAACAAGAAGCTCATTGCAAAGGGAAGCTTTCGAACAATGGCTTACATCATCCTTCCTGAAGGTCGCATCGTCCGTGGCATGTTTCGCTTGGGCTCGACGAGCATCGTGTTTGAAGGGGAATCCATCGTCGACGAACAAGTCGACAAGTCGCGGGAATCGACCAGCATTGTCCTCCTCAAGCGACGCACCTTCAACTTGCGTGTGATCAAGTCGATCTATCGCCGCCGCTTCAACCTGGACATTCTCTGCGGCATGGAAATCTACTTTGTCGACGGCACGTCTCTCTTGATAGGGTGCGTTGGTAGTTCACCACGATGGCCACGTTCCATGGCATGACATGTTTGCGTGTGTGTCTTGCTCAGGTTCGAGAGCAGCGACGACGTCGACACAGCGTTTGCCATCATACGCCAGCGCAAGCCGCCGTGTTTGGTCTCCACGAAGCGGCTCCTGACTGGCGATCGCCTCGTGCACAGCTCCAACTGGCACGCCACGGCCAAGTGGGTGCGTCGAGAAATCTCGACGTTTGAGTACCTCATGCTGCTCAATATTGCTGCCGGTCGTTCGTACAATGACATCACTCAGTATCCAAGTGAGCGAGCCGCGACGCATCACCGCATTGGATTCTGACTTGCCTATCGTCTAGTTTTCCCGTGGGTCGTGCGCGATTACGTGTCGTCCGAGTTGGACTTGGAGGACACAGCGATCTTCCGCGACTTTTCCAAACCGGTCGGCGCGCAATCTCCCGAAGGTGTTTTAGCGTCGATGCAACGCTATCAGTCGACTACCAAGTTCCCGTACCATTTTGGAACGTCGTATTCCAGCCAAGTGTCTGTCCTGACGTGCCTCATGCGCCTTGCGCCGTTTTTGAAATCCAAGGAGGCTTTGCCCGAGGCCAACGAGATCCACCCGGTGCAGTCGATTGCGTCGCTGTGGCACACTAGCACGACAACCTCAGGGTACGTTTATTTCGACAGCGAGCGCGCATGTATCACTGGCCTCGTTCTAGGTGGGAGATGTTGCCGGAGTTTTACATCACAGCAGAATGCCTCTTGTCGCGGGAACTGGGCGACGTTGCCCTGCCGCCGTGGGCGAATGGATCGGCCGATACGTTCATTCGGTTGCAACGGCAAGCACTGGAAAGCGACTACGTGTCGATGCACTTGCACACTTGGATTGACCTCGTGTTTGGCGCGCACCAACGCGGTCCCGGCGCCGTCGACCATCTCAATGTGTTCCACCCCGTTTGCTACCCGGACGCTTTGAACCTTGCCCTGCTGGATTTGAACACGAAAAAACAGCTTGTCGAACGCGGCACGATTCCGTTGCAACTCTTCAAAGCACCCCATCCCCGCCGCCTAACGCTGGATGAAGCATTGGAAGCCAGGTTCCGCACACACCGTCCCGAAGCGGTGTACTGACTCGGCTGCCATGTAGGTATCCTGCATCCCATGCCGTTGCCAGCTTGTCGTCGCGCAGCCAAGTGCGTCGGTACGACGTGTCGTCGCGCCACGAAATGGCCCTCTCAAGCGTTCGATTCTCGTCGGCGACTGCCACGGTAACGCGCCAATTTCGAAGCGATCCCTCGTGATTGTGGTAGGGCGGCGGAATGGGTTCCTTGACCAAGTCCGTCAAGGCCAAAGTGTCGTCATCGGACAATTTGGTGGCCGCAGCACCAGCGGAAGCACACGGTAGCATTGTGTATTCATGCGACGAAACTGGCCTCGTCTTGGCCAAACGGTACCAGAATTCGACGCCAGATTCGACCAAAGGAGCGCCATTTACGTTGCAAGATGTCGATCAGTGGTGGCGTCTGCCGGCAATGTGCTCGATCGTTGACGGCATGGTGTATTACGAGCACATGATCAGTTGCGGGTACGTTGTGTTTTCCCAACTGAACCGACGGCACATCACGCGCATGTCCAGGTACTTTGATGGGAGCTGGCGAATCCACTGGTCTGCAGATGGCGAGTTGCTGCAACGCATTGCGTTCCACAAGCAGCGCATTTTGTGCATGGCTCGAAGCGAAGACGACGTGACGGGTGATGTCGCCCTTGCGTTCGGCAGCGAAGATTGCACCGTGTCGGTACGTTTTTCGCGTGTGTGTGCAAGGCAAACGCCATCATCCATGACGTTCGGTTTTTGATGTAGGTGTGGGCGATTTCAAAATTTGCCGCGAGTCGATCGCACCGCATGTTCTTATCGACTGCCAAGAGGGAGCTCCCGGTCGGCAATCTGCCATGGGTGTTGCTTGTTGGCCACTCCCGTCCCGTCGTGTCCGTCGCGATCAACGTAAGCGTCGTCGTTACGGAACCGACGGTGAACCGCAGTACGATCCATGCTAGGTGGAATTGGACATCGTGGCGAGTACGTGCCGCGGCCACCGACTTTTGCTCCACTCTCTTCGAAGATCGTGTCCGCTGCATGCCATGGACCTCTCCGTGCCGGCCATTCTCAGCACGACGTTGTACTTGACCATATCCGGCCAAGGCACGATCTTATGCCACGCCGTCCACGACAAAAACGAACTCGCCCACGAGAACTGGCGGGCGTCGTCGACACAATCCGAGATTTCGTTGATCTCGTTGAACGGCCGTGTCATGTCTCGCACCGCGCTTCACCAAGACAATCGCCCGATTACGTTGCTCCAGCGCGGCGTGACGTTTACGCGGTGCGGCGAGTTTGTGGTGGTCGCCAACGCCACGCGCGACGGCGGCATCGAAGTGCGGAAAGTCAGCGACTTGAATACGTGCATTCGACGCATCGAAACCAATCGATCGTCAGTGTTGACGTGCTTTGGGTTGTCGCAAGACGAGCGGTACGATCGGTTTGATTGTACCGATGCGTTGACAGCACGTTTGCTGCAGATGCGTCGTCGCGGGGTATGAAGATGGATCGCTCGTCATGTTTGCCTTGCATTACGGAATCAGCGACCAAGGTCGACTGCGTAGCGACAAGCGGGCGCGCGAAGAAGAAGCTGCTGCGTTTGCTCGCGCCACTACTAGCGTCACAACGAGTCCGCGTGAAGTCACAACGTTGTCGCTGCCTCCAGGCGTGATTGTCGACGCAACAATCTTGGCCAACCTGACGGACGTGTTTTTCAAGCTCAAGCGACCGTGCGTGGCTGACGACGTCGAGTACGAGCAGCTCTTGCACCAGTTCTGGGCCACGATTTATCCCCCCGTGGACATCTTGAGCGGTACCATCTCGTCCATAGCAACTCTACGTCGGACTGGCATCACACTGAATAGGCGACGTCAAGTACGAACGCGTCGGTGCGTCGTGGAGCCGACTTGGATTTCAACGGCCCGACCCGACGACGGACTTTCGCGCTGGCGGGATCTTGAGCTTGCACTGCCTCATGTCGTTTGCGACGAAATATTCCGCCGATGTACGTACAAGATCTCGTCCAGGGCCATCGTAATGAGACGAGCGTTAACAACAGGCCCAGCGGATGACGTCGTCACAAATCCCGGGCTCCCACCAACACACATATCCGTGGGGTCCCGTTGCGATCAATATCACATGCATGATTGCGTCGCGGCTGTGGGGGTCGGATGGTCAGCTCCACAAAGACCGAGAAAACTTGTGGCCTGTCTTCGCCAACCCAGAAGCATTCTACGTCTTGTTTGCCGAAGGTACGCTGTCAAGATGGCTGGTAGGCTCGCCCTGGTTGACGCAAATCGCCTAGCATTTCTGTTTTTTGATTGCGCCTGGTGCACCATGAACGCCCAGTACAGCTCGTTTTCTGGTACGGTTGTCGTTGCGACAGGCTCGGTGTGACCGCGGCTTGGATGACAGGGGTGATGGAAGTGACGACGAAGGAAGTGATGGGTGTGATGAAGGACAACCATGGCTCGCTCGACGAGTTCGTCCGTTCGATCCGAGCGCGATCGAGTGCGTTGGTGGACAGTTGCTCGTCCCCCACGGCGACTCCTCCACCGTCGTCGTCGACGGAGCAAGTGGTCGACGTATCGATTCCCACGGACAACTTGATCAGCTTTTCGCCGCCGCGCTCGCCGAAGCGACCTTCGATTCCACCGACAAGCGATACCTTCAATTTATTGCAATTCTCGCCTCCGAAGACGTTTGGCGCAACTATTCCAGACCCATTCGCAGCTCAAACTTCCGTGTCACCGATGCCTGTGGACCCCTTTGCCCCTTTGCAAACAACTGCAACGTACCCACCAAGCAATGACCCCTTCTCCCCTCGCAACATGCATCAAGGCGGCCCCGTCGACCGCACAGATGATCCTTTTGCCGGACTCTAGGACTCTACCCTCCACAGTCTTGACATGATTTTGATGGAGTCGGTGAATTTCCTGCGTTTTTGGAACCACAGCGATCGTTAGTCGCCCAGATTATTAGTACATTGGCTAAGGTACTAACGAATGTCTCCCGTTCGGTCGCTCTTATCCGGATGGTGTCCCTTCGACGTGTATCTTGAAGGGGCGTATTTCGACAAATTTCGTGCCTCGCGATGAACTACGGCATCCTGCACAACCGACGGGCGAGAGATGGAAAGACGAAGGGGTTGGCGGCGGGCCCGATTCCTCTCCAACGCATCGCGAGCCAAATGGGCGTCGATCCTGCCGAGTTGGGCGCGGAAGCTCAAAACATTTGGAGCATGCTGGACGACATGTCCCAGAACGACCCCCAAGCGTACCGCGAGTTCATTGCAAACCAAGTGAGCGAAGAACGGAAGGCATCACGACAAAAATTCACGCCGACGCCTGGGTTCGTGGTCAAGTATTCCGTAGCAGTGGATGGACGACATCAAAAGTTGTTTATGAATTGCTGTGCCCATGCGTGCGTCGCCATGCCAAAGAACCCCAACAACGGGAAGGACGTACCCAAAGACACTCGCATGCTGCCTTACACGAGCAACCTCGAGATTCCGCTTGCTATCGGGGAGGTCCGATCGGTCATGATTAAAGACGAGCGGTGCCAAGTCGTCGACGCAGTTTTCAACCCATGGGTGCTTGAGCGAGCGCAGTGGGACGCTAAGTTCAAGACAGATGCAATGCAGCTCGCAAGCTCGTGGGTCGAGAAGGAAAAAAATGTCAAGTTGATATTGCCTGGCAAACTCATCAAGAGCTTGTACAAGGGTGGAAGTGGATCTGGAACGAACGTGATCACCCACGACTTCATCGTGGACACCGTGCAAGACTCCTCTTCAACCGACGACGATATCGACAACAACGCTAGTCCCAAACGAAAAGCAGCCGCCCGTGCTACAACAAATTTGCCACCGCCGCAGGGTAAGGTTGCTCCAACAACCTTGCTGCAAACGCCAACGGACGTGCTGCGCGGTCTCGGCCCGACTTCAAATCAAGACTCATGTAACGACGAGGAGCCCAGCAACTTCACCATGAAGCTGCCTTCGGCTGTTGGTGCCACCAAAAAGAAACCACTTATTGAAGTGGTTGGCGAGACAAGTAAAGCCCTCCCAGTTGCGTCGGCTGCTAAAGCCGCGCCCCCTGCGTCGCGAAAGAAAAAAGCCCCCGTTGTGCAAAAGGGGTTCCTAAACAACGCGACAAAGGCTGCGCCATTGTACCCAAATGGGTCCACCGAAGGTCGTGCCTCGTCGGCATATGTAAACTTGCTCCATCGCAGCAAAGTCATCGACATGAATAGCATGCCATCTCAATCGGACCCCGCTAAGACACTCCCTCCCAAGCGCAAGCCACCTCAATCGTCCGGCGAGAAGGAAGTAGTCGACTTTGAATTTGACCAGTTGTGTCTCGAAGCTGAACCAGAGCTCGCCAACCACGGCAAGGGCCCATTGGACGCCAATCCGTTCTTGAACGAAGACCTGACCAGTTTCCTTATGGGGAAGATCTAGCGTTGCCGATAAAATTTCCAAGTAACCCAAAAACCTACGACTGCGTGGTGGTTCGACCAGGGAGGGGCACATCGAGTGCTGTTGATTCGGTGTAGTCGACGGCGTGGGAGTTGCCCGTTGCGGCGCCCATCGCCTGCGAACTAGGTAATGTTCAATGAACATGGCGCACGTCTATGCGAGCGACGTCAATCATGTTGGTGATTCTGCGTGCTTGGCAACGTCTTGCTATCTCCATTGTGTCTGCTTCATGAAGGAAGGACATGGAATGAGGTGGTCCAGCAATCCGTGGGGTGGTTACCACACTTCTTGCGGTCTACGTGACCAGTGCGTTCGTCAACATTCCAGCTGGTGCATACTAGGATGGGCCGGCGTCGCGGTCCACGGCGGCCGATCCGTCGATGGTCACTCCTTCGAGTGACCATCGACGCTCGCTGGCTGGGGCCGTGGTGTAGCGTCATAGCACGTGCTCTCTGGTATAGTCGCCGCAGGTGATGGATCGTTTCTCTTCCGCCGACGTGCGCTTTCTTTGGCATCAGCATGCCAGCTGGTGCATGGTGCGGCAGCATCCCGTGACTTTCGATATTGAAATAAAGACGAGATATCATTTGTGGAAGGTTTTGGAACCATCATTCTCACACGAGTCAGTGTGTCACTTGGTTTTACTATTGCGAGAGCAACGTGCTGCAGCAGTGGCAAATGTTGCACGACTGTTGGTCACCCAAACGGTGGTGTGGATGGCCGCCGAGGAGCGGGCGGCGCTTTGGACGGCGATGGAACGGCAACAGGCAAAGGAAGGGAGATGAAGAGAGATAAATAAGGTCATATTGTGTAGGGTCGCACTAGTTCCAATTTCCAGTGATTGTACATAGCGCTGATTGATGGAGCAGCACATCTTAGAGGCTCGGCGCAGGGAACACACGCGATGAACGCAAGAGGAGGGCGTCCAATTTGGACGGCTTGGTCACAACCACCGAAGACCGGTCAACTTCCGCGTCGGCGACGCCTACCACAAGGGGGGCGTCGGCAAAGGAGACCTTCTTTTGATGAGAGCACGGGCGTTTGGTAGTTGACGTCAGGTGTGACTCAATCAAAGCTCGGTCCATGTTGAGCTTTTGACACTTGAGGTTGAAACGGCGCAAGTACACTTCTGACGCCTTGAGGAGCGAAATCGCTTCGTCGAGCTTGTTTTCGTGCCACAACTGGGCGCCTTGTTCTTTGGAGAGAACGGTCGCTTTCCAAAGCAATTGGATGTCGCGAACAGCGTTGGCATAGCATTCGGTGATGGAGGCCTCGTCGAGTGTGCTGGATTCGTTGCTGATGGTTTCCGCGACCTGCCACTTGGCGCTTTCCCACAAGCTGACAGGGGACACGGTGAGTTCTTTGTGGCCTGCATGCTTGGCCACAAGCACACTGATACGGGCGAATGCGATCGAGATGAACTTGAGGCACTTGGCTTCGGTTTGAAGGCCTAAGCTGTGCAAGATGGCCAATTCCTTGGCGATCGCGATCAAGTTCTTTTCGATCACAACGTTGTTCATATCAGAGAGGCACGCTTCGGCGAGGAGCGCCCTGAGCTTGGTCGAGTACGAGACCTCTTCAAGGTTCTTACTTTCTGGTCGTCGGCGCTTCCGGGAGATAGAAGGCATATCGGTCACGTCAACCAGCGACGTCGACGACATGGGGTATGCTGTAGCGCGGGATACGTCCAGGAGCGACATGCTGGACGACGTCAAGATCAATAATGATCTTGGGCTCCACCACCACATGAAAATAGAAACGAGTCACAGTTGCATATTCAATCGATTGGCCAACCAATGGAGATATCGAGTTTCACAGGAATTGGTGCGCCACCGACGGCAACCTCAGCGATGCGATTGGCCGGAGGGCCGACGTCCGCGGACTTCACGCACGTGTGTATGCATTTAAAGAGGTTGCGACCGCCACGCAAGAAATTTCAGAGCCAGCCACCGGCTGAATCGCACGGGGTGTGGACACTGCCACATCCGGTTATACCCGTTAAGGAACACGTTTTTCTGCACGACGACGGCGGGCACCGGAGGTTTTATGGCGTGGATCGTTGGGTTGAGCACCCGCCTTCCACCCACGCACAGGTCCGAGTACCGGTACACGTGGAGAGTCACTCCCCGTGTAATGCCCTGCGTGCAATATGCGTAAAAACATGAAGTCTCGAGGGCTGGGTTGCGCCTCGAGCACGGCTCGGAGAGTCAGGTCCACCGTCGGATATTGCGACTTCCGACGTCGGGTGCGAGGACGGTGTTTTAACGAATTGCGTTGAACCAACGAATCCCGACACAGTTCAACCACATGGATCTCTTTTAGTGGAAATTTTGGAAAATATTGCAAAATCGTCCTCGAAAGCCGAAATAATTCATTGCACGGGGGCGTCATTTGAACAATAACGGGGTTACACCCATGACGAGAACAGCACTGTTCCTTCCGGGCGGTTTGATTGGCACATTGTGTAACCAACCAGCGCTAGGCGCGGTAGAGATTCGACAAGCGCGTGTCGCTCGCCGTCACAAGCGTGCTCTGCCGCGCCTCGCTCCATGTGGAGGCCAGAGACCGAGAACGCATCCGAGCTCGGCCGCCGTTCGCTGTCGCATGCGACACTAGAAACTCTCTCCCTCGCGTGGCGCATCTATTGCTCGCATCCACGGGAATCTCCAACCTTACATGGCCAATCATGTGGTGTCGTCAGTGCAAAAAGGAGCCCCAACTGTTCTCCATGGCGACCACTCCGTCGCTGTCCGCAGCTGAGGGAAGGCATCGGGTGGACGCCATTCGAGGAAGACCCACGCCAAACCGTCCGGAATGGCACGCAAGATTCGCACTGAATCTCAGCGTTTGACCCTCGACCGAGTTCCGTGACAGGGTGCGTGCGTGGGTTGGCTCCATTCGTCTGGCATCCCGCGCGCGGCATTCGACATACAGTTCGTCCTGCGACATCAATCGTAGATTGTGTGTTTGACATAGGAACCTTCGAGAACAGCACGCGGGAATTACTTTGGACACAAGAACATAGCAGTTGCCCATGTCGCATACATTGGGGACCACGAACCGGTCGATTCGAGAACCGTGTGCATTCACCATCCAGACCGTCGTGGCGCATCCATGATGGACTGGCGACCACATTTCGCTTCGCCAGGTCCATTCATTCAACTCGCCAGCCTGGTCTACGAAATGAACAGCTGAGAGACACCAAACAAAGCCTCGCATTCAATCTCATGGTGCTGCAGCGTTCAAGTCCTCACGAGCCATCGCCGGGTGTCGACATCAATGTTGCGGAAGCACCCGCATTGGAATGGCCGCCGCATGTTCGACCATACTCAATTAGTATTACTATTCGTTTACTAGGACCCGTGCTCATACAACCACATACAACCTCTCCTTATTAATAACCTGTAACAATGGGTTCGACGTGCATCCTTCGCGGTATCTTCGCTCATGATGCCAAGATCCGAACGTGGCGATGCGGCAGCGAACGAGCTCTTTGCCAGCGACGAGCCTCTTCTGGAGCTTCCTTCCATCAGCAACCTGCCTAGAAAGCCCAAGATGAACTCTGGAGATCGCGCTTGTCTCTTTGTCTTCTGCATGGTGGGTCTGTCAATGTGCTTCGTTGGGCCGGCAGTGATGTTCACCGACACCAACCGAGCCGTTGCCCTGCCCGCCCTCGCCAATCCAAACGACACAAACAAATGGGATAAACACGAGAGCCTTCTCAAGCTGACATGGCATGCATGGCAAGACCGGCTGGATTCGCCTCGGCCATCGATGAAAGCGCCGCAAATCACAGACTTCCCCCCGTTTCCAAGTTTCCTCTACACATTTTACAGCCACGAAATGCGCCCGGTGCGGCCCAATCCAAGCCTTTCACTACTCTCGGCATCTGCTGACCCAGTTGTTCTCGTTATACAAGCTGGCGAGGCGCAAGTTGTGTCGACCGTTCGAGCAGGGGCATCGACACTGAAGGCTCAGTTGAACGTCTCGGACACCAAACCTTCAATCCTTGTTCTAGCAACTCGAAGCGACGAAGGTACACAATGTCGTGTGCGTTGCTTCAAGTACTTACAGTGGGGTCAACTAGCTGTATCGAGCGTCCAACTGGATGACGTGCCGTTGGTGAATTGGACATGCATGCCTGGTTTGGCAGGGGAGCAATCGCTCGTGTACGCACATCATGACCTCGACTGTGTGTCTCGAATGCCGGACATAACTTGTTGTCGAATAGCTTTCAACCGAATCATTTGCATTCGGTGAATTGGACGACGGCCACGGACAACCTGGGGCCATTCACTTGGTTCTACTCGACGTTCCATGCGAGTGGTTTGCAGGCATCGCGGGTGCTTCGAGTTCGCGCAAATGGACTCGTCGCTGGATACGTTTACTTGAACGGGGTACTCTTGGGTCGGTACAACGGCACGTTCGAACGGCGCTTTGCCGTGGACGTTCTGGAAGTAATGTGTTTATGGCATGTGTACTATCGGTGGTGCTCAGTTTGATACAACGTAGGACAACACGATCGCAATGGTCGAAGAAGTGAGCGCGAGGAGCATTCACGCAGTTGAAATTCATCTGGAGTGACCAACAACTTTATATATCCCCGACCATCTCTGTCCGTCATTTCTAATCTTTTAGCCCGTCAAACCGAGCTCGGGTCTACGATGCACATACGACGATGGTTAGAATTGGCACAATACCAGGGCGTCCGTACGATTTGGTTGATTTTATCACGTTTCGAAGCAGCTTGGCCTCCCGGGTTCGGCGCCAGCGTTCCGCCACCTGCACCACCTGATGAGCCACACTTTGCCAAGCGAAAGGTAACATACCGAGACCGGACGTGTCTCCCGACGTCTTCCCAACGGCTGCCACCGGCGCGGTGATTCCAGACCCAGCTTTACCGAGCCCTTCGCCGCTCTTCCATCCCATCATCTTGAGCATTTTGCCTCCAATGTTGGACTGGTCGTCCAAGGGCTTGTCGACGCGTGCAACTTCCACTGCTTCCATGGCTGGTTCTTCAACCTGACAAAGAACAGCATGACGTTGCAATCACCGTGAGTTGTGCCGTCGTACTCGAGGAAGGAGCGCTTCCTTCGGTGACTCGCGAACGCGCAACGACTGCTGTGTTTGCTTCGCCTTGGCGAGATTCTGCTTGTGCAAGTCCGAGAGCTGCTCATGTTTACGCAGCTGTGCGGCCGAGTTGAACTTGCGCCGACAGAGCTAGCAAGACGCCATTAGGTCGAATGAATCATGTGCAGTCACGCACAAGACAAATCGTGGGTTGGCCGTCCGAAACGGGTGCAGATATTGGCTGGGCAGGTGGCTGTGGCGCTGGCGTATCTGTAAAACGTACACGCGTGACAGGATTTTGTTGCCTCGTGCTGATATACCGGTCGTGGAGGCCTTTTGTTGTTGGGACCATTTTGCAATTTCATCTGCATGCTTCTTCTTGACGGCGACAGGTACTGCCGCGTGGGTGCCAACGAGCGGCGTCGCGGCGGCGGGAGTCGGTTTCGCAGTCCTATGGAAGTTGTACCAACCGAATGAGGCCACGTGCTGACCACCCGTCGCGTATACGTCGGTTTGATGCCAAACGAAATCGCGGTGGCTTTCTTCTTCGAGCCGTGTTTCGATGCGTCTTTCTTGGGTGGATCGGACGCCCCGACGGCATCGTCGACCGGAAGCGGCACTTGATAGGGGAGAAACGAGTTCTTGGTCGTAGGATCGATCACGTGATAGGTGCCCAAGAAGCTGTTGTAGTACACTTTCGAGGTTGGGTCGTAAAAGAACATGCTGTCCGAGTGGTAGTACAAGCCTAAAATGCCCCATGGCACGGGCATCGTCAACTTGAAAAACACCGTCCTTTTCAGGCAAAATGGCAGCGACGAATTACCATTTTCGCTGACAAAGACAAAGGACCCGCCAGCTTCTTCGAACGACAACGGAAAGTCCTTCTTGGGAACTTGTGGTGTCGTGGGCACTGCCGCCGCTGCGGAAGCAAGCAAGGCATTCACATCCAAATCGGACGTATTCTGCAGCAAGTCTAATCAATACATCAAGTTCTGACGATCGGCGGTACCTGGTAGGGATTGGACAGTGACCACTGGGCGGCTTCAACGGCCGAGTGAGCCAGCGCCTGGGCATTTGGACCTAAGTACATGCCATTGATGACATGTCGTTGAAAAGTAGACCTCGTGCGGGATTGATTCGTACCCAGCACGCGAGGAGCGACCATTTCATTCGAATACGAGAGCCGGACGAGTGCGTTCGCGTAGTAGAATTCACTCCCAATGGCGAGTAAGGCTGCAGTGGCGTGCTACAGATCGTGTCGTACACATCGTCAATCGAGCGGTGTCGTGGCAACCATTTGGGTCCATTGGATGCTGCCTACTTCGACCGATGCAAACTCGACAAAGCCAAACCCACGTGGCGCATTCGTGATGCGATCGCGCACAAGTCGAATGCCTTTCACTCCAGGGTACGGCATGAACATGTGCGTCAACTGGAAAACCACACATCGACGTTAAAACCAACACAATCATCGAGAGAGTGGAAGAATCGGCTTACGTCTTCCTCTTGAGCTTCCAACGGAAGCGATCGAACGGCCAAGATGCAAGACGGATGGGCAGCCATGGGGTCGGGCGACTGCCGCGGGACCTCAACGGCGTATTCGCTCTTTGGCGCTCCACATTTGTAGCACTCCATTCGTTTGGCGAAGTTCGATGCATTGCACTAGCCATCATCCCGTTGGTGCAAACGACCTCATGATAAAAACCTTACCATAGGGCAAAGCCAGTCGCATCGCGGGGGGTGGCCCCCACCATGGCTGCGCTGAATCGGCTCGGCATACCCTATGGCGGCCACTCGTCCTTGAAAAGTCAACGGCTGCTTGGCTAAAGAAGTTTATCAGTGGCCATCTATGCACGTACAACACGTCCTGCATACCAAAAAACTGAACAACGTATTTGGCATCTTCAACGGATCCGAATTCAACGAATGCAAAGCCTCGGCTCTCCCCCGTCACCTACGACAAGATGGCACATCAAGTAGTGAGCGGCACACACCATCACCTACCTTATTCACGATGATTCGACCGCCCGTCGGATGAAATGAACTCAAAGCGTCCATGAGCTAAGACATAAGGTCATGCACAGCGACGGAATTGCAGGACACACCTCTGTGTTCGTCGTCGAAAACGGCAATCCCTTGATCATCAACGTAGAAGTAGGCTCAATTTCGAGAACTTGGGGTGGCCTCGCCGACGTATCGTCGCGGTCGTGTGGGTAGCTTCCTTCTCGTCGATCATTTGAATAGCTTCCTTCACGTCGGTCGTTTGGATAGTTTCCTTCACGTCGGTCATGCGAGTAGCTTCCGTCTCGCCGGTCGTTTGAGTGACTTCCATCACGACGATCGCCGGAATAGCTGCCTTCGCGTGAATCACCCCTATTTTGCGTTGACTGATGGTGGTTCGATCGATGGTACTCGCTATCTTGGTCGAGTCGCGGTTGATCCCTCCAACTGCCTTCAACGTCACGTGTAGGTCTGTTCCGATCGAAATCGTCATTATCATATCGGCGTCGCTTGGACGAATCACGACTGCGACTACGTCGTTGACCTCGAGAAGGGCTCCTGCTGCGACTGTACTCCCTCCGTTCCCGCCGCGAGCTGTCTCGACCTTCGCTTCGTCTGGACATGGCGTGCGTGGTTATAAATTCTGCCCGAATCGATCTATCATTGACGACAAATAGTGTAAACGGGATAAAATATATTCATTTCTCAAGACTATTTCAGATTTTGTATATTTTGACGCAACTGGCGCGAAATCTCAAATTTGAATTTTATCCAGGTCGGATGAGAAGGGAGTGTCTGGACGACGTATGGGACGAGCTGCGCCAATGCATCGCGTTCTTCGACCTGCGAGGCATCTCGGACGAGGACGTGGAAGACATCTTGACCCAGAAGTTTCAACTGCTCAACGCCAGCCACAAGGACGAGACTTACAATTGCCTTGATGCACTGCCGACAACTCGTCTGGAGCGCACAGCATTGTGCTTTGCGCGAGTTTTGGACCTGATCCAGACTAGCCCGTCCATGTCCAACAAGTTCTGGAAAACATTGAGCAAAGTGGTCGACAAGCGAGCCATGCATCGCACGGTCCTAGCAACGATTGATCTCTGTATGAGCAAAGTCAGTGCCCTGGCGAAAGTTACCGGAAGTGCTCCAACAGACGACCAATCGCCACTTTCCAAAGGTCTTCTGGCTGCGAAAGTTTACTTGATGTGGTTGCATATTCCTGGCGGATCTGCGTACAGTATCTTCATGCCATTCGTCTATCAAGACGCATTGTGGGTTTTGCTGGGGTGGGCAAAGGTAATGTACGCTCCTGAACTCGAAGAACAAGCCTCGAAAACCGCTCGAGCCGGACAGACAAAGCGAAAACAAGCCAAGAAACCATCATATGTTGCTTCCACGGAGCTCGCCGAGTATGGGAAGGATGTACTTACCATCCTTGTTTCCCTCGGGTCCATGCAATCCTTCAACCTCGACGCCGTCACTTCGACGTTAGACGCAATCGTGTCGATTGCTGCCTTAATGGCAGTACAAGCAGTGCCTGCCGAAGAATGCCGGCAGATTCTGAAAGCATTGTACCCAAATCATGCCCAACAAGTCCTAGTGCGATTGATGCCAGCTTTGGCGTTTCGAGACAAGTCGCTGCCGGGCGGGGCCAGGGATATTCAGCAGCACATGACGGCATTCCACGTGTGGTCGCTAGAGACCTCTGATCAATTGCTTGGTTCTCATGGAAACGATGACGCGAACGCGATGAACGCGATGGTAGTGCTGCAGCAACTGTGCATTCGGTCACCTGAAAAGACGGACTACCGAAAAAAAGTTGCGGCGGCACTCGTAACGCTCTTTTTCCACCACGTTCTTCCCCACCCAGGGTATACGTCGACGTTAATGACGTTTCTCGACAGCTTCTCGCGGAGCGAAAAGGTGACCTGCCGCCAATTTGCCGTCGAAGTTACGACCCAACTTATTGTACACGACGGATGGACCGACCAATTCAGTTTGCAGTTTGGCATCCTGATGCGGCGAGCGCGCGATCGATCTGTGTGGGTACGGAATAAAGCTCTTGTCGGTATGGCAAGTGTGCTGTCAAAAGCGTTGCACAAGCAAGCAAGTGGCTGGTCCCCTGCTTTGGAGCAAGTCGTAGTCGCCGAACTCACGTCGTCGAAGTCGTTCAGCGACGAGACACCACCAATTCGCGTCTGGACGCACTTGATTCAACTTCTGCAAATGTGCCTTGAAGACGGAAAGAAAATGGTTCGCAAGTCCGCGTTGCAAGTCCTCGAAGTTCTCTTGGTCGTCGAACGAGACATGGGAATCGTGGCGGAGATTCAACTTAAATGTACCGATTCGTCCGTGTTGGTGCGCAAGCAGGCAATGCATGTCTTGACGACGCTCGTTCTCAAGGACCCATCGAACAGGGACTTGCACAACATTTGGAGCTGGGGCGTCCTCCCCCTCGTGAACGACCCCGAGCCCATGGTCCAAGTACGTACTCGATATCAGGAGTGCATTCATGTGTAACCACGAAACTCAGACGAGTTGCGTGGATTTCGTGGACCAAGTCTTATTTCAGCGACTGGGCGAGTGGCACGACTACCGTCGACGCGGATTGGAAATCACGCACGCCCTCAAGTGTGTTCACGACCAATTTGACCATCTCGACCGCATGCTCATCACCTTTGCTCAAGTGGCACTCCGATTGCTTGTCAAAGCCGGGAAAATCGACGTTCCTCAAGTCATCAAGAACTGCATCGCCGGCATTCAAATTCCTGAAACTACAACCAGCAGCTGGGTCGTTTTGGATGAATTGCACGCTCGTTTGATCGATCACGTGACGACATCGGACTGCCGCGCCCTGACCAAAATGTGGAATGAGAAGCAGGACCAAAACTCACTCCGAATGCTCCGCGTCCTGTCATCCATCGCATCTCGTGTCGCTGCGTTGGACGCGTCCAAGGTACTTATTGTCCCCGTTGCATAACGTCGTTGACGAATGCACTAGATTGCAAAGAGGCTGCAAGTCGCCTTGCAGTCATTTTCGTTTCACATGAACGTCATCCCTGGTGCAATTCACACTCTCGTGCGACTTCAGGACGACAAATCGTGGCAAACGTCCCTGTGGGCTGCTTGTGACGAGGTTATACAGGATGTTGTGACGAATGGAGTACAAGACATTTCTCGTCTACAAAGGGTGCTCTGCACGATGGGTGACTTATGGGACGGTCAACACGACCAGCCCCAACGACTCCAGCACATCCAGCGATTTTTACTGCCTACGTTCAACCAACAATCCACGCCAAGTGCTGTTCGAGCGGTTGCATTTCTAGCATTGGGCAAAGTGAGCTTGGCAAGTCAGGTGCGATCGTCCCTGAATGAGTTTGACGTATGCACTGACGCAACCAATGTTAGTCAATCGCAAAAGACTCGATGACGATGTTCATCCGAGAGCTCCAAACAAGTGACAACGTGGCGATACGATCCAACATATTGCTCGTTCTGGGGGACCTATGCATGCAATACACGTCAATGGTGGAAGTTTACGTGCCAACGATTGCCGCATGCTTCATGAACCCGGACGTGCTGCTTCGCCGCAACGTGCTGTTGATGTTGACTCAGCTGATACTTCAAGGCTACATCAAGTGGAAAGACTCGCTGCTTCACTATTTTCTCCATTTGGTCGTGGACGATGACGCAGAGCTCGCGCACCTTGCACGCCATGTCCTATCAGGGCCATTGTTGCAAAAAACGCCCCACTTGTTTACCACCAAGTTTGTCGAGACGATTTTCGTGCTCAACAATGTCATTTTGCCATCTGTATCTGCCGTGGGCCTCGTCATGTCGGACGCCGAAGTCCATGCGCTGAGCTTTTGCGGGGCTGACTTGTTTCCCAACCGGTGGAAAATCTATCATTTCATGTTGAACACAATGTCGGATTTTCAAAAGGTCGATGTGACGGGCAAACTCACCCGTGGCATTCTCGAAGAAGTGTCGGAACAAAAGCTCCCGCTGCACGACAACGCCAAGGACATCCAGGACAACTCCGTCGAGCGCGTTGTGCAAGACACATTACTCGTCCTGAGTTCGTCGGAGATCAAGCTAACTCATGGAGGGGCTGGAGACGACGACGACGAACTCGAACCATCGTCCATGAAGGAAGCAACGCGGAAACTCGCGTCAAAACTATCTAAGAAGAACCTGATGGTGAACGTTATCCCGGTCGTGATTGGGGTGAAGCACCAGCTCGAAGCAAAACGCAGTCCGGTTATGCGCTACTTACTGCACTACATCCAGGACTTAATGACGTCGTTCAAGGAAGAAGTTATGGACGTACTTAACACCGATCCCCAGCTGGCAAAGGAAATCGCTTTTGACTTGAAGCAGTATAAAGCTATGAAGCTCGCCAAGTCAAGGCCGAGTCTCGGTGGTGGACCTGCTGTGTTGCCTGGTGCATCGATAGTGCCCCTCGGGGTCACATCAACCCCACTCCTGAAGAAGCACATGACGCCGCTGACACGCATCCTGCGCGAGCGTCGCGCATCATTCAACGATTACTCTGACGGTACTTTATTCAGTGTGTTATCATGGATGTCTGAATCCTCGGATTGTAGACGAAGGGGTGACGAAAACGCTGGACTTCTCAGCGATGTCCAAGCACAGAACCCCGCACATCGCGCACGTCCACATCGCCCCGTTGGTGGAGTCCGTTCCCGTGGAGGTTGAAACGACTTGAAACGTTGAATATTTCTTGACGATCGATCGAATAGGAGGCAGAGACTGGGACGGAGTCATCGTCGGACTCTGACTTTGAAGCTGTCGAGCAAAAACCAAAGAAGGCGCTTGTCAAGCGTGCGAGGCGCCGAGCAGCTAAGTAGATTCTACCTGTAACCAAGCCGATTCGTCCAAGGCGTTTCCAAACTCGCTTAGAACAGCACATCAAAGCATACAACGACTCAACACGTCAAAGTTTGCTTTTCCCACTGGCAGCCCTTCCAGTTGCATTGTGCTTCATCCTTCACCTCGCGCGATTGTTCCCACGCCACACTCTTCGCGCCAGAATGGGGCAAAAAATTGTCATTATCCGTAAATCTGGATAATACCGACTGACAGGGAAACCAAAATTCAAGCGGCAAGTCGTCACGATGACAGTGTCAATTCGAGTGGTCGTGCTGGGATATGCGCCACCGGCGGCCCCGACGAAAGCCTCCGGGAAGAGGAAGAAGCGCCCGTTGGAAAGGACACACAGCTCCCGTATCAATGTCGAATTCCAACTGCGCACTGAATTGGAATGGAGCGTCTTGCAGTTAAAGGAAGCAATTGCGAATCAGTTGGAGCGCGAACTCGATGGCGCGGCCAATGGCGTGCAGCCAGAGAATCAATGCATTGCAGTCAATGGTGTGCTGGTGTGCGACGCCGACTCGCTCGGCACAATCCTTTTCGATTCACGGACACTCGTATGCGCCATCGACAAATCCGAGCCCTCGCCATCAAACACACCCGTGCAGTCGACACATGTCAGTGGTGCGCTGAATCAGTTACGTTCCATGGGATTTTCAACAAAGCGAGCATCGGAAGCCCTCGTAGTTGCCAAGAACAACGTGGAAGGCGCCGTTGCCTTTCTTACTGAAGGCATACAGGTCGACACGTCGTCGCACGAAGAGACAGATACGCACCTGGCTGACGTCGCCATGACCAAGCCATACTCCTTGGTCGGTGCCATCCAGTCTTGCAATCCAGATCACTTGGTTGACTTGTCGTTGGATCGCTTGACGGCTGCCATGCGACGGAGGCAAGAACGGGAATGCAATGGCTCCCATGTCGAGGATGGGATGGAGGTCGATGAAGAGACCAAGGACGACGACGCAGTCATAGCAATTTATGACGACGAAAGAGATGCTGTGCACGATGCGTCGCAGTTAGCCGACGTTGACGCTGAGCAAATTGCGCTAGACCGGGTACAGTCTCTCCTTTCTCGTCATGTCATTGAAGGTTGGATGTGTGTAGTTGCAAGCACTGGGCTTTTCACGCCATGACGCCTACAATGCGTACGTGGCATGTGACCGGAACGAAAACGCAGCAGCCAACTTTCTCTTCGAATCCATGTGATGCCAATTCGTACGATCAAAGTCTCGATGTTGGGTAATTTTCACGTCAATGCTTATCCCGCACTTGGTGAACGATCGTGGCATTCCTCCCTTCACCCTCATCCAGAATTTCACTCGTTCGAATGGCGGCCAACTGGTCTAGCCCGTGGTATGAAGCGCCTGGCACGGCTTCTGGCCCACATCCGACACTTCTGTGAATGCTGAACAGCTCAAACGTCCCATGGTTGGAAGGCTGATGTCGATTCCTGGGTAGCCGGTTTAAATTCACACACTTGGTATATACAGTAAACTGCACGAACTGAAAATCTCGTGGGGCGGGTTTTTCACCAGCCCTACCAGTACATGAAACATCCATGATGGAGCCAACACTTGTTCCTTGGATGCGAAGACCTACAAGGCCGCCACCACAGTACTTAGCCAACCGCATACTCCATGGACGACTCCTTTCGAGCTCCGAAGTGCCTTGGGTCCATTCTGAGCATGCAATATGTATGCCCCCTGTAGCTTCTTACGCCAAAAGTCTTCGACTGAGTATTGTACCATGCAAAACAAAGCGCAATGCCTGGATACCTCTCAACATACCACGCAACACTCGCAGTTCCATGAAACCTTGATATAAATTGTGCATTTTCCCTGAATGCAATAATAACACGTCTCGAAGTCGCAGGCAGGACACCAGCAATCACTTTCACCGTGCTTTACATACAATGATAACGCGGAGCATCTCATCGAGTACTTGCAACGATGGAGAGCCCAAGCAGGCGTCGGACAGCTCCGTTCCCGCTAAGCCTTGTGAACTGCGAGGGGATGCCGGAATATTGGAAGGAAATTGCTCCCAAAAGGGCAAAGTCACAACGACAAAAAATCCTCTACAACACCGAGACTTTCTCGCAGAGCATGAAATTTTTTAATACTACTAGATGTACCCTGAAACAATAGAAACACAATCAGTCCGTGAATAGATCTTCCTCATGCTTGACACGCACTTGATAGCTCCAGTCGCAGGAGGAGGAACATCTCAATAGTGACGACGACGACAGCGACGACTGTCGAGTCCGCTCAAGTTTTTTTTACATATTTGGTAACCAGACCATGAGGAGACCAACATGACTTTCCTTGTATAAGATGCATGCCAATAGTAGTAGTAGGTACTAAATACTTTCGATGGGTAAAGTACTGCCGTTTATCCTTCACATCCGGTTAACGTAAGATCCCATATAAACGACGACCCACATGACGACGGAAGCATCGGTGCTCGCACGGCTCCCAGCGCTGGAGCGCCTTGCAGAGCTGAGAAGAATAGAGGATGTACAAGTTCGACGCCAGACCACGAAGGATGTACACGCGATTCTTATGCGCGAGTGGAAGCAAGATCGCCGTTGGGGTGGGATGGGCCGACACCTCGTCGAAGACATTCACGTGTCGTTTCGACGGGGTTTCGAGATCCTTGTCAAGAAAGGAGAAGCGCGGAGGGAGGTGAACGTGTCATCGTTCCGTCACCTCGACAACAACCTGCACCACCACCACAGCATAGAAGACCAAATGTGGTTTCCTCGCCTGAAGCAACTCCATCCCGAGTGCCAATCCGAGGTGGAGGTTCTTGAGAGGGATCACCGCAAACTCATCGAGTTGGAATCCCAGGTGACCTCGGGGGACTATGCCGCGCTCGTCGAATTCGTTGACCATCTCATGGACCACTTGAACCGAGAAGAAATGCTATCTGTACCGTGGCTCCTCGACGGCACCGGTGGGTTGTAGCATTAAGACTCCACTATATCCATGCATACCTTCCTCGCGCCAGTTCTCATCGTGCGCCACACGCAAGCTGGGGCGGCAACCTCTGAAGTTGGTGCCAGCTAGCTCCTCGTGCCATTTGTCGTAAATTGCCCAATCACCCTAAGCCATACAGTAGATTTATTTTTATACATTGTCCAAGATGAGTTGGCATAAAATTCGAGTCGATGGAGGAATCGACTTCTGCTTGCGACCAAGTTGACGGAAGGCGTCCAAAAGAGCCTGGCTCACCAAACGCAGTGCACAGCGATACGTGGAGCGAGACGAGCGAAGTGCCATGCACTGACGAAGTCGAACCAGAGGCCCAGCCCGAGAAGGACTTGTGCCACGACAAAACCGCCGACGGCGAGGAGCACGTATACCCTGAAGGAAGCAAGCCCGCTGTCGCTCTGCCGTGTCTACCCCAGGAGGACGTGCCCATCCTTGCTCCTGCCGGCATCCCAACTGCACAGCGACACGACCATAACACAATCACCTCCATCCTGCGCGCGCTTCAAGACGAGTGCGATCGCAGCTACCAACAAGTGCACTCGTTAGCGACAAGGTTGCGCGGGATGCCAGAGGACATGCAGCTCTTCTTGGAAGGGCATTTAAACGCGTTGGAAAACCAGCGTCGTCGGTTGGTTGTCCAGGCAACGGCCCTACAGCAAATTCCCGTCGACGACGCTACCGTTGCCGACACAACGACGTTGCTGGAGAGCAAACCTGCCAAACGAGGGTGCGGTCCACCACCAAAGCACCTTGACTTGGCCTCTTATCAACAGAAGCGACACAAAATCCGTGCTGGAGGCGACCACAAGAACATCAAGACGCCTGCAGCGTCGTCGTCCCCGCCTCCGTTGCGTTGGGACCCTTCGCGCGTCGGCATCCACGCCACTGTCAGTAGCCGCGGCTGTCGGCTGAAAACGATCCGTTCGGCTTGGAATGTCGCCATGGGCAATGTGAAAGTCAGCAGCTTTTGCGTCAAGGTCGAGCTGAACAAGTCGAAAGCCCGCAACGCGATCGCAATTGGATTTATCAAGGAGCCCAAGTTTTGGGAAGTGCCGAACGGCGACGAGTCTGTGTTTGTCTTTAATTATTCGGGCTGGTACCTCAACGTGCGCAAGGGGACATTGTGCTCGCTGCAAGGCCATGACGATGCGCCGTTTGGGACGCCCTTCAAGAGCGGCGACATTCTCATGACGATCCTGGACCACACATCCAAGACGGTGTCGTTCGTGCATAATGGGTCGCACCTGGGCATTGCGTACTCGAATGTGGACGACGATGTGCTCTTTCCAGCAGTCATTTCGTACGACGCAAAGATTGAGCTCACGTTTCTCGAGTAAATCTATCAGAACAGAGAGCTGCAGTCACGGGATTTGGCCATGTCGGGAAGAGGCTCGAGTGATGTGCCACAACTTGCCAACAACACGTTGAGTCACAGCTGATTACCATCGCATTCGCCCGTGGTGGCAGTTGTCGACCACGCACGTGAACGTTCGTCGACGCAAGGGGGTTGTATACAATTCCTCGAGATGACGTCTGTGTAGGCTAGCATCGCGGCGTCCTTTGCCGTGATGGAGTACCCGGACGCGGAGATCCCGCTACCTCTCCCGCTTGAAGCAGCAAGCCTTCCCCCGCCTACACAATCTTTTCGCGCAGCTAGCTCTACATTTAATGACGAGGCAAACTGTATTGAAATGGACGAATCCAACTTTGTCGAGTTGAACAGCGAGAGGAGGCTTCACAGACTTTGCCAATGCGTCGTCGCCACAAGCAATTAGAATCCATGCTAAGTCCCGCAAGCGTGAGCGAGCCACAAGTCAGTGCCGTATAAACCTACGGCCGAACCTCATACTCGCTCGCTCCCGTCGGTAGGAGCAGGGCACCCAAGTGCCTGAGCCCTCGCTAGCAGCTACGACGACTCACAAAATGATCCACTGTCAGGGAGCCTCAGATTGTCGCCCTGACCAAGGCCCTCTATTATGTCGTGTGTCAGTACCGCCCCTGCCGCCACCTCAAGCTCATCCACCATTTCTGAAGTGCTCGATCTCAGTTGGCCCCGTGCATCCAGCAACGAATCGTCAGAAGTCGTGGGCAGCCATCTCCAACAAACTTCACACGACCTTGCAAAGGGGGGGAGCGCAGCCATAGGCAAGCATCCGAGGCACGGCATTTTCCGTGTGTGTGGCGCATGCGTCCACCAATCCTCGATCCATGCAACTTACTCGAAGCTCCTGCTGGGGCTACAATCGCCACGCACCAAAGGTGGCGGCGTTTCGTTCACAATTGTCAGAGTAGTTTTTCAATGGGCACACGTGCTTCGACCACGACTCGCCGTACTGCGTCGGCTTTAACGTAAGCTCAAAAGCGGTTGCTGCGGCTCACATCAAACAACGTGCATTGTGTTACTTCAAGACTGGCTGGTCCTTGGCTTTGCCAAGTCGGGGGTTGTGCTGTACCCTGCCGTCGGTGAGCTTGATGAGGCGAGCACGTTGGAATTTGTGGTAGGAAGTAGCTCTTTAGCCACCGTGCCCTGTTCTAGTCTCTCCTATCGACGACGAGCGAGGTTGTGGCGCGTGCCTGCTGCCCTGGCGCTGTTCCAAGACAGATATCTATGTTGCAGCTACATGATTTATTCCCAAGTATGTTACAATGCTCCAACGGGGCCTTCTGCCGCCAGGAGGGCGTCGAGCCATGCATTCATGGCTTTGCTTTGACGGCGTCGGTCGATGGCGGCAGCCAGGTGCCGTTCTTTCTTTGCGCTCTGTGCAACGTGGCGCCACCGCTCCATCGCCGTCGAGACAAGATAAGCTTGACGCAGACGCCATCCTTGTGCCTTGGCTTGTCGTTTCGCTTCTGTTGTCGTCCACCACCGTCGCACGGCCAGCGCGAGACCGCCTTGCCTGCGCACAACACCAGCGTAATTGACGAGCCACTGCCGCATCCATCGCTCGACGGCTACGCTTCGCCAGTGGCTGAACAAGCGCTTCACGTGCGATTTTCGGTACAGCATGAACGCTCGTGCACTGCGCTTCTTTTCTAGCCGCGCCACGTTACCAAACTGCTTCCACCTGCAGCAGCCAGTCAGTCTTACGGCTGCATTCAACGTGGGGTGGTCGTGATGCGTACCTGTCAAACCATTCCTGTCGGCGCCGACGGGTCACACGATGCGTGACGTGTCGAAGGCGCCGCTTCAACGTTGCGAATCGCCGCAAGCGGAAAAAAGACCGCGAATACAGCGAACTAAAGTACAAATGCCGCGATCGGTACAGACGAGCCTTGAGGTAGCGAGTCCGAGTGACGTAGGCCATCCACGCCGAGAAGAGCACGCGGACCGTCCGGCCGCCAAAATGAATGGCTGCCGTGCGTTGTAACTTCAGCTTCGTCTTGCGTTCGACCACAAACGTCTTCCACCTGGTGAAGATTCGCCGATGGGCATGATCGGTGAAGAACAGTTTGACGTGATGCCAAATCGTTTGAGCATCGTGATGGTCTTGGACGTGCTCCCGAAGCCATCGCACGGCGCGCCGTTGCCGCGAGAAGTCAAGATGCAGATCGGCCATCTGCATGGCCTGCCGGTTGTGTTTTTGCTGCGTGTACGTCGCACGCCACCGCTCAAAGTACCCCCGGAGCCCCTTTCCGATCAAGTGAGACACCGCGCGCTCCGCCTGGAGGCGCTTGTGCACTTGCGACTCAAACTTGCACCGCCACGCGCGAAAGTACCATCCAACCGACGATTCGTAAAAGAGCTGCGACGCCCATACAACCTGACGCTTGTCGTGCTTTGACGTGTGCGTGTAGCGGAGCCACCGTCGAACAGCCAGCCGTTGCTGCAGCCCGATGAACACGCGATGTTGGGCATGCCGGACGCGACGTAAGGACACAAAGCGATTCCACTGTTGAAATCGTAACTTGAGCGCCGACGCTTCCCAATACGTCCACGCATGCCGCAGTCGCTCCATGACGTCGCGGTAGGACTTCCACGTGACGAAGTTGCGTCGTAAGCGCTACAGACATCGTGTCAGCACCAACTTTGACGACTGAGACGACGACTGCGATGACAACATGGACTCACCGTGGTGGCATCATGGAATCTCGCCATGCGCATTTGCAGCTGAGCGACGCAAAAGACCTGCCATCGCCTCCACACTCGTTTCTGCATCTGCATCGTGGCATGGCCTTTGGCCATGGCTACGTCCTCTTCTGTGCAAACGCGTGTTTGCAAGAACGCCATCCTATCGATCGACCATCGATGAGACGAACAAACTTCTGGCGCGGGGTTTTCCATCCTCACCACTGTGACCATGCCTGTTGCACCAACGCAGCGTTGCGGTGATGACGAGCTTGACGCTTTAGGTGTTGGGCGTAAGTGAAGTTGAGCCACCGGTCAAATCGGTGGCGCGCCGCGACAGATGCCGCGTGTTCGATGGCCATTTGATTCTTGAGCGCACGTTCTTGCTGAACGATTCCGTGAAGCAACCACGCGTCGAAGCATTTGGTCCGCAATTTCCGCACGAGGAAATCCATGGCGCACAGGGTGAGCTGCCGATGTTTTTGCAACGCTTGTGCTCGATCCCGCCACACTTGGATCGCTTTGATCGCGTAAAAGTCGTTCATCGCGCACTCGTAGGAATGCACAGCCTGGCGCGACTCGTGGACGCAGCGCAAGTGCTGCTGCCACCCTCGAAAACATCGAAACATTGTCATGGTGGCGTCTCGACGAAACGCCACTGTCAAGATATGCTTGGTCTTCTTCGCCTTCATCGTGCATGTCACCCACCTGCCGAAGCACGGCTTGCACAGACCTGGGGACACAAAACTCGTTGACTGCCGCTTGGATTCCCCCGATAGACTTACGAGTAAAATCGTGCAGACCCGCCGCGTGTTGCTGCTGAAGCTTTATTTCACGCCATTTCTTGAGTTGTTGCCAATGCCGGAATGCCCCGCCGAGAAGTCGACGTCGGCAATGCACGTAACATTCCACCGCCAGGCGTTGCTTTCGCTGACAATACACTCGATACCTTTAAATATTCGTCACGATCACCAGACGATGTGCAAAACCAACTCTGGCGAGAGGCACGGAGGTTTACGTACACGCTCCACAATCGAAAGCACATGCGAATGTAGCGCTGGCTCCACACACGCGTCGCACGTCGAAGCATCACGGTGTCATGCGTGCATCGAACCCAACGTCGCCAAGACCGCCGTAGCCCTTGTTGCATTCGGCACTTGGACACAAGTGCTGCGTCCAGAACTTGGACGTTGTGGGTCGCGACGCGCCACTCGGCCCAGCGCTTTCGCATGCATATGGCAGCGTCATGCAACGTTGCGAGCTAGTTTCGCTTGTCATAACAGATTCGCATCCAACATGCACGATATACCTCCCATTGCGCCTGCTGCATGCGGCAATCTTGCACGATGCGTTGCCAGTGCGACCACAAGAGGCGCACGTGCCGCATCCGTCGTCGTTTCGTGGCTTCTTTCAGTTTGCTCCATCGAGTGTGCACCACATACCACGCTTTCCACGCCCGGCGGCGTGCCTGAAATGCATGGTGCGAGGTCGCGGCGCCAGCACAGTGTGCTTTGCGACGTCTCGTGGCTGTGAATTGGACCCACGCGTGCATCGAGGAGCGGACAGTATTGCCGAACAACATGGTTCGAATCGCCTCGATCAGTGCGCGACTCCGCCGCTTGTCTGCTGCCACTCGATGCCATTGCGCGATACGTCGTTGCAGAGCCCGACACTTGGACTGTTGGGCCGAGTGGTGCACAACGCGCTCCTTTTCCGCGAACTGGGTCCACCGTCCAAACACGTACTTGGTCTTGGCATTCGCTTGCATGCCGAGGGCGTCCACGAGCATGCGGCGAATGTACTGACTTCGTTGCGCGGCTTGCCGCATCGCAACAAACACACAGTGTTCGACGCGACGACGGTAGATGCGCTAGAGCCATCGTGACGACAAGACACAAGCGATGGCGCGAACGTACCTCAGCTGTCGTACGCTGTAGTTTTCGAGTTGCTGCTGTGACCGCGCGGGATCGAAGTCGTGCGACGACGGTACTCGTCCGCTTGCGCTTGTAAAACGAATCGGCGACGGACAAGGCGTCCACGTTACGTTGCGTCCGTTCCGCGTGGTGCTGGAGACGACCCACCGCGTGCTTGAGGCGGCACATTTGAACGTGACGGATGGCTTGGTCAGTTGTCGCTCGAATGTATCGACCAAATGCAACCGCATCGCTCCATGCGTACACGATTTTGCGCAGCGTGCCGATGGCGTAATGCCGTCGGCTGGACAGGACAGTCCACGTGCGGCCGGCGCGGACTTGGGCGAAGTCGTGCCACAGGCGCACGGCATGGCCGAGTTGGACGTGCTCCCATTGTACGCGCCACCGTCGCTGAGCCTGTCGTTTCAAATGCGCTTGATTCCACGCGTTGAACGCCCGGGTGCATCGATGACACTCCAGTTGGTCTTGTGCCAAATCGTTCAGCTCCCTCTCGTGGCGTTGCCGTGCCATGTATTGCAACCATCGCCCAAACGTCAACGATCTCAATTTGCCCGTGAGAAGTACGCGCGCGGCGCGTCGACGTTTGTTTTCGACGGCCACGAGCTGCAGACCCACTTGAAACTCTTGCCACACGCAGCGGAGGAGTCGACGTGTACGCCACAGCAACGCTCGGCGCTCTTGTAAAGCAGTATTGAAGCGAACACGCCACGTTTCCCACAGCGCTCGCATGCAGCTTCGACTCGACGCGTGGAAGAGGAGTGCCGACGATTCCCGAATCTTCCGCTGCACCTGCACAAAACACCACCATGCTGTCAACGACCGCTCGTTCGTCTTGCATCTGAGCCATTGCACCGCGCATTGATCCTGGCGACGGCTAAACTGACGCCTTTCAGTCCACACCGTCCACCCTTCAAGGACGGTAGCTTGGAACCTTCGCGCTCGTGTTGCCGCGACTGCCATCCCAACTGCGTGGACTCGCCACTGGTGAAATCCGTACTGAAGTCGCTTCGTAGTGTGTGTGCTGTCCAACCCCACAACAAACCTCCGCCATGCATGACCAGCCTCGACGACGCCACTCCATTGTCGTAGAACCTGCCGCAGGAACCGCATGATGTGCTGCCCTCGAAACACCACGCACAAATGTCTTTGCCGTGTCTTGGGTCGGACGTACGATGCCCAAGCATCGTGGTGCCGTCTCAGCGTTGCGAGATTCCGTTGCATTTGAAGGCGGCACCGAAGCATGTTGATGTAATGCCGTCGATGGGCTGCCGCCTGCCACGTTTGAAAGTGGTCACCGAGGTGGCGCATGCGCCTGGCATGGACCCAATCCATCGCTCGCCATCTCGCAGAATTCGACGCTTCCGTTCTCCTACTCCATAAACACCGTTATTGCTTGGTAGGCACATCGAAACGAGGGATGAGCTGACTGTATCGCACCTTTTCCACCCAAAAAATGCTCTTTCCGTTGACACATTGTAGCAATGCAACACAGCAAGGCGTTGCTGGTTTCTACTTTTGACGTACTCTTGCCACTGTCGCAACGATCGCAGCCGTGCCTGGCTGGAACACCATGCGACAGCTACCTCGAGCTGGTGTCGTTCAGCAGAGAACTCTTGACTGTGCCTGCGCCACACCTGGAACGCTGCTCGAGACACCGTAGATGCTGCAAACGTGGCTGCGCGACGGAGTTGATGGTTGCGGTGGTCTCGCAGCAGGAGAAAGCGCCGCCATCCTCGCATCAACGTCTTGGCAAGTTGTCTGTTGTACCAAGCTTCTGCCATGTGACTCATTGCCCAGCATTGTCTCCGCCGAACTGTCCATGCTCGCCATCGTTTGGTGGCAGACGCTCCCGCCACTTTTCGTCGCATTTGTGCTTCATTGATCAAGCAGACATCGCTGGTCAAATGCCATTGCAAGAACGACTGCTGGAGCGTCTTCGTTCGACAATGTGCGGCGGCCAGTTGTCGATGCCGTCGCGCCTGGCGACGAATCGATACAAATAAGCACCATCTCCGCCACAGCAGACGCAGACTCTTTTGTCGACGTTGCGACGTGATGTAAAAGACCAGGACGCGCCACTTTTGACTTGTAGAGTAGGCCAACGCCCACTGGCGCCAGTGGCGGATTTGAACCCTTGCCTTGCGCTTGGATTGCACGAGTGCAGCGGCGCGCTTGACCGAGGTGCGATAGATCCAGGCCCGAAACACGTGCTCGTATATGGATTGAGCCGCAAAGGCCCTGGCCATTCTTGAACGTTGCTTTCGATGAAATGAAATGCCCCAGCAAGTCCAGGCCACCTGCAACATCATGGCACGGTGATGCGTCATTGCTCGTTCCAGTGAAGCGAGTCGGTGGGGTCTGGTAGTGTCGACGGCTGTCTTCCACATGGAAAACGCGCGATCCAGGAGCGAAAAGCGTGTCTTTACTGCATGCATTTTGTGGCGGTGAGCCTCTTGTTGCCGCAAGGCCTTTGCGACGGCCTTGCTTTGGCGATCGATTGCATCGTTCGTTGGAGGTGCGGTCGTGTCCGTCGTGGGCACGGGTGGTCGAAGAGCGTGGCTCGTTGGCGACTGGCGAATGCTCCATACAGAAGACTCATCTGAGGATGAATGGTATTGTTCGACTTTGGATTGCGGCTTCATGGACTCCATATGCCTCTTCAAAATCGAGTTGGTGGACCGTCGGGGACGAAGATGTGTGGAACTCTTATTTAGTTTGGAGTATGGAGTGGTGGCCTCACGAAGCCGCGTCGACCTCCTCGATGGCACGGACCGTCGCCACCCGTGGAATGTCCTCCTGCAAAGTTGTTGACGCCAATAGTACAGCGCAACCATCATGTGGTGGTTGCCTTCATGTCGGGCAGGTCGACCGAGGAGGAGTTGTGCAGACGTTGACGACGGCGGCCATGTACGTTGCGAAGTACTCTTGCGTGCACGCTCCATGTCTCTCAGCTCGGTGTACAGCTCCGAGTCATCGCTGTAGCTGTCGTCCATGTGGACGGCGCTGTCCCGACGGCTGCAGCAAGAGTAGAACTCTCCAAAAGATTCCGCTGCAGCCAATCACAGGGCTCGTTTTGGCGAGGGGTGCGTGGGCTTTCAACGATTCAAACATGAAATGATTCAGTTTATCTATTGTCACAGGTTCGGTACATTGATACTTTTCATTCTACGAATCAATGCATGCAGTGTATCAAATAACACAGTATTGTAGAACATCTTCGCAGTCGAACATCGCCGTCGAGTTCACACCGCACTATTCACCAAGCTCACCAACGACGCCACTTGGATGCTTCATAGCATTATCGATTCCGACCACGATGTACATTGTGTCTTACTTTGAGTTGGTGCTTCATGACAACGGAGTGTTTGTTTCGAGCCGTCGTCGTCACGCGTGCGTCAGGGCTCATGGATGCGAAGAGCACGTGTCGCTGATGATGATTCTCCACGACTCGGTACATTTTATGGCGACAGTGGACAGCTATGTCGCGGCAGGTCAGACCCACACATCACCTTCGTGAATCAGAGAGGAAGTGCATTGCATTTCGAGCTCCCCACGCGGCCGCCTTCTCGTTGAGCGGAGGTTCTCCATCTTTGGTGTGCCATGTTGACGGTTTTGATTGGCTGATTCAAATGGTGCGGACGGTTGAATAAAAATATTTCAACGTGGCATCGCGATCGAATATTATTGCGCCGATTGATTTGAGGTATTTATAGACAGGTCAACCTTGCGATAAAAATAGGTCACGTCTCCGAGACCCCATTTAAATAAGATCGCACGTCTGGCTATTGTGTGAAACAGGAACGTCGTTGTGCTGACGAAGGACGAGGCGACAAAGGCGCCGCCGAACAACGCATGACATCGCACACACAACAGAGGAGCCGCGGACAGGCAAGGACGCCACCCTATGGACAGAATACTCAGAACCAAGACAGCGACCCCACGGCCCCCCCACCACAGAGCAAACTGTCGACCAAAAGAGGATCCAGTCTTCGAACCCCCCCTAAGAGTCTGGCCGTCGTCGACGTCGGTGAGAACGGTCATCAAGAAGGCTTAACAAGAAAAAGCAGTATCCCGCGTACATTCCTCAACCACTCGAAGACTAATGCTGCATCGTCCGATCAACACTCAAAGTGGAACCCGTCGCTCAGCCACGTTCGGACGATCGTACATGACTCCCCGTTGTACGCGAGAAGACCAAACGCTTTGGCAAAACCTCGAGGGTTCTTTGCTGAAAACGATCCGCTTCTACAGCAAACGTCAAGCGCGACTTCCATTTCACGGGGACCTACCTCGTCGCCATCGCCGCCGTCCCGAATCCCCATCCCTCGACGGGCGAATCCGTCGCAATCGTCGTCCACTACGAGCAGTATCAACTCACTCGACAGTACAACTTCCACGGCGTCGTCATCAACCACCACGCCTCCTTCAAGCCTGCCGCCGCCGCTTGGTGACGACAATTCACCGCATACCCCAAAGTCTATTACGAAGCCGACTGTCGACCCACCACGCACTCCTAATTACGTTAAGCCAGAGCAAGGACTGTCGGCGCCACAAAAAGTCCGTGTCGGCCTTTCGGGCTTGCTCTTAACTTCAGAAGCATTTCGAAACTCCACGGGAATCAACAGCACCGGAAGAACAAAGCGGGACGCCAGCCCAGGTCGCACACGGGCGCAAAACTTGAGTGAGGCGCCGCTGAGTCCCACAAACAGCCGAACATCGAGCCAGGGGTCGTTGAAAGTGCGCACAGAGGCACTCGTGACCAAGTTGATTCCGACCAAGAACAGCGTGCACAGTTTGATTGGGTACATCAAGGAGCTGCAAAGTTCGGAAGCGAGTCTTCGAACTCATCTTGAAGCAATCAAGACAAAGGCACAGGAAGATCTGGCGCGGTCCCATGGTGCAGTCAACAAATTGCAGTCGAGTGTTCGGCAAATCGAAGAAGAGCGGGACCAAAAGGCATCTGAATTGGCAAGGAAGAGCCACGAAATCGACACCCTACAGGCCAAGATTGAAGCGTTGCGGGTAGCGCTCGAGAAGAACAATCCGTCGTTGGCGACCAGCCACGTCACGCCGATGCCGCCACCGTACATCCCGCCACCTCTCACACAGCAAATGTCGACGATCCACGAGGCCACTGACACACCTGACACCACGACAAGTGTCCCTGCCAAATCCTCGCACCCGGTCCAACATGAAATATTCCGAGACTGGCTTGTGGAGTTTTTCAGCCAGCATGACCCGACACGACTACCGGCGATTGACACGTTGATGCGGCGGTACCAGGGTCGAGACAAGCGCCTCATCCAAGAGCTCCATCATCGGTATGGTTTTACCGCAGTGGAGTCCTTGGCGATTCGGTTAGGGTTGCTCCATGTGATCTCGCCCCAGCCACATCCAACCTTTCTGCACAGCAAGCACGAAGCTGGAATCCACGATGTCGCAACTATTGTTACAGCCCCTGCACCCATTCCGTTCGTGATGGCGCCAGAAACCTTCCACGCCGGCCATCCGTCAACCGCCACGCCAGTCGAATCCCCATCACCGCAAACTGAGACTGTACTTGTGTCGTGCATTGGACGGCATTCCCAGCAAGACATGGAAGGCCGAGACAAGGTGGGTCTTGCAGGAAGGGTCCCTTCATCTGCCCATCAGGAACCTTATCGACCACCCCCTGTCGGGTCTCCCCCAAAGGACTACGTGCCTCACCACGTGCCCCCTCCTCGTGACCTTTCAGCTCCTCTGCATGCAGACGTGTCAAGGTCCACTACTCTCGCCTCTGAGTCGAGCGTCCCCGCCGTCAACGTGTTCCAAAAGCCAAGGTCCCCGAGACACCACAAAGCACGTCCTCCGCATGTCATGCACGATCCATTCGCACTGAGCCAGCCAAGCCAGCCCCAACCGCAGAGTCCTCCAAGCCCCATCGCTTGCCATCCATCCCCGACACCCCCATCGACAACGTCATCTCCAATGAAACCAACACCTGTGGTCGTGTCGCCGCCTACTCAACTTGAACAAGAGCCACTAACATCCCACCCGCCTTCCCCCGTCAGGGACGTCACCCTCCTTGGTCTTTTGACCGAGTTGTACACAACGCATCAACCCGACAAGCTCAAAGATGTTCGTACGATTGCATCGTCGTACTCGGGCCACGAAGTTGACCTGATCCGACTGCTCAAAGCAAAGTACGGCGCGTTGAGTGTCAAGAAGATCGAAGCCCATCTGCCCGCATTGCAGGCGATCGCGGCATCGAATCGGGCGTCCACATCTCCATCGATTCTGTGGCGCCTGGTCGTGTTGTTGTTTCGATCGGGGTTGCTGGCAGTGGTGTTATCCGTGCTTGGGCTGGGGTACTTTAGCCTCCTGTCGCACTTGGCGTGCCGCGAAGCAACCGTCGATCCGTTGTCGTCGGCGTACTGCCGGTCTTGGCACCTTTCCACCACACGACTGGTGCATGACCCAACAGTGGAAACGGCGCAGGACGTGCTCGACTTGGTCCCGCAAGCATGGTCAATCATGGCCAACTTCGGCAAGGCTTCCGCCGCAAGGAGTGCAGAGAGAACACTTGTCGCGGTTCGGGCAGTCATCAAGGAAAGCCTACAAATCAAGCCGATACCGGACTTTCGTGGCCTTGAACTCCTCGACGACTTTGCCCGGGTGCTAGAAGTGATTGTAAAGGACTCGAACGGCAGCGCCGCCCGTCGGGCACTCGCTCCAACACCCGCCGTTGATCTTTGGGCCATCTTGGACCTCGCCGACGACGAAGCGGCGAGACAAATGCATTGGATGCCGCCGTCGTCGACCTGATATAGTAATGTGGAGCGATGCATTGGAACTATTTAATGTAACAAATACAACAACTGGGAATCAAACATTCATGGAAGACAAGTCGTTCTTGAGCCGTTCTTGCTCGAGATACTGCGACAGTGCGTCAAACGCACGAGTTCCTGCCCTTAAATACTCGTTGAGGTTGCGCATCGTTTCGGCCGAAAACAATTCGGCGACAGCGTGCAACTGGCCTTCTGGAGATCCCCTTGCCTGCTTCTTCGAAGACCCACCACTGACACCCCCGCCGTCACTGTTCCGATCAAGTCGCTTTCGGCCGCGCTTCTCCCCTTTCTTCATGTGAGCGTCCATCTCGGTGGAATCGGGTTCAAAATGCGTGCCGTCTTCGCCTACGTCACCAACGAGAATGTGAGAGGCATCGCTGGAATGTCGATCACGACGTACCAGTGATAGCTTCCATGATTTCTCGGTGCACGAATCCTTTCGTCCGAAACTTGACGCACTTGGGCTTTTTCTGGATGGCAAATTCCCAACCTTCCTCCGACAACGTGATAAAGCCCGTGGCTGGGTCGACGATGGCCCCTCGGCACTTGCGCACAAAGTTCCACAGACCAAAGTCGTAGAGAATGCGGCTGTACTTGAAGTAAATCTGGTCCTTGTCCCAAGCGCACCCGTGCTCATGGCACGTTTGTGTGACGGAGTCCCAACACTTTCGTTTCTCCATGTTGGTCATATTCGTGGACTTCTTGATTGCATTAAGGTATGCATTCAGCATGATCACCTCTTCGTCGAATGTCCACAGCCCATTCTTCTCCTTCTTCTCCTTCCCCTTGGGCGACAGTGGCGTGGAGGCCATCATGATCTCTCGTATCCGTCAACGAGAGTTTGAAAATTTGAAGTCCAGTTTTTTTCTGAATTCTTGCGCCACACAAAAGTGCGTTAGATAAATAGTACCTGTCTATTTGTATGTGGAGGGCTGCCATTATTCTCCAAAATAAAAATCGAAATCCTTCTCTCACGGTAAATAGTGTTAAGACCTCATCCTAATTTTAGAAACCTACAATTGAAGTCCATTTTGACGACCTTGGCACGAGTTCGTGGTGGGATGGACGCTCCAGCGGAGCCACGGCGCCAGTCCGTCAGTGCGCCGGCGTCTGGGGTTACACTTGAGCAGAATGCTCGTTTGGTGGCGAGATCGTGGAACTTTCGAGCGAAACAGAGGCGAAAATTCAGCACGACGAACCTCGATCGACCATTGACCGAGGGATCCATGCCGTACAATTACGACTCCACGTTCACCCAAAGCGTGATCAAGTGTGCATTGCCCATGGCGTGTACTTCCCGTCGACGTACCTCAAAAACACGTCGGAGCGATGTCGCGATCTCCCCGATGAACGATGTCGATCTCACGTACGACCAATTGTTTGAGCGAGAAGTAGTCAAGATACCCCCACGTTTGGTGCGTTCCATTGATGGCATTGATCAAAGAGATTTAACAAGAGCGCCGTAGGAACTGGCGTCGCAGGCCGAGAGCTTGAACAAGCTTATCCAACGAGCGGAAGCCGCGTCGTCGTACTCGTTCTGCAAATCGTTGATCCGAACAGAAGACACGACGATTCCGGTCGTTCGTCGAGTTCGACGGCATGCAAGTCTTGCCAAGCTCTTGTCCAAGGTAAAACAATTGGTTTCATCCGTTTTTACTGCAACCATCGTTTGATCAGGAGCCCCTTGCTCCTGGAGACGAGGAACAACTCGACGCAGAGGTGGAGCCCGAAAGCGTCGACCAAGACGTCGTCGTCGACACCCAGGATCAAATGCACATGGTGGCCAAGTTTCGATGTCTGATGAATCGAGATGTGACACTTGTGCACGTTCTCCCACATGGTGGCAACCTTCCACTCAATGCACTTGTGACCGAGGCGTGGACGACGTACTCGGACGGCCGCTACAAGTACGTACCACTGCAATTAAGTTGGTGCTGAGTCTTGGCATTAGGGAATGCATGGCACAGTTGAAGAAATGCTGCGTGATGAACACGGACGCCGCCAATCGCCCGATGCTCTTTTTCAACCAGGCGGTTGTGCAGGCGCACCTGGGAAATTTCAACATGGCCATGGCGGATTTGAACGAAGCGATTAAGTTGGATCCGGACGTGCCGAGATACTACAAATTGAGGAGGTACGCGTATCCAAGGCACCGCGCGCGAGAAAGGCACACGAATGACCACGAGAACAGTGTATTTTGGCGCGTCCAGGAAAAGTACATCGAGGCGTCGAGGGATTCGAAGCGCGCTGTGAGCATCGAGCAGAACCAAGCGGGACACAAACACGCTCACCAATTGGCTCGTAAAGCGTTGAAGGCGATTACAATGGTCCACGAAAACGCCCCCCACGTCAAGGTACCTTCCCATCGTCGACATTTTATCCCATGGATGGCGTTCTTGGGCTAGACGTCAAAGGATGTATTCCAAGATGCATATGAAACTCCGCCCAGTGTACGTCCAGAAGCACTGAAACAGTTGTGAGCAAGAAGACATCGTCACTGTAGAGCCGAAGTCTGGCCCAACTCGACATTCTTATCGACCAGTCAAGTCGAATACCGTGCTTAGCCAAGCTCCAGCATGATATTTTGCATGCATTATGGCGGTAGGTGCTTTCATCAGCGCGGCTAGTTTGGTTGTTTCATGCGTGGTGGTTGAAAGGAATTTGGTCTTTGCGGGATGGCCAAACGAAACAATCGTTCACGTGAGCAAGTCCACGATCAGGTTTGATACCGTCGGTCGATAATGCTGCTGGGACGTCACCAGGCCGCTGTCTGCAGCATGTACATAGTGTTAGAAGGGACAGTGACAGTTCACACCGAGCAGCACGGCGTCAAGCAGATCCAGCAAACGTTACAACCCGGCAGCATCTTCAGTGAAGCCACCATCTCGACCAACTTGTGGGCCGACACAACCCTGGAAGCCATGACGGTTCGAGTTTTGCGACGCGTTTGGATGAATAAGATTGTGTAAGCAGGCCTGCCGTGTCCTCATGCTGGAGCACGTTGTGTTTAAGCACACGATGAAGAAAGTCATGATGGAAGGCGCATCGGCGAGGGCGGCGTTTTTCACGTCGACGGGCATCTTTGGCGAGTGGTCCGAAGAACAGCGCAACACCCTCGGTGTCCTGTCGGAGAATTTCAACTTCAACGCGGGGGATGTCATCGTCACAGAAGGTGCTGTGGGGACCACGTGTATTCAATCACACCACATGTCTGACACGTATCGATGGACGACGGCATGTAGGCGCAGTCGCCATGCATTTGTACTTTGTCCAGTCCGGGTTGTGTGGGGCGGTTCGCCTCCTCGGTGCCGAGCAAACTCGAATTCAAGTTGCGATGCTATCCAGCGGCGACGTGTTTGGCGAGGTGCTGCCAGTCTACTCGGGAATCACGTTCCTTGACGCTGGTAATCTACAGGCTGCGGTATTGGACCCGATCCACGGATCCTTTCCATTCACCATTGTGGCCAACACGATTTGCAAGATCATTCGCGTTGAAAAGAACTACCTGAACAAGAAGAACGGGTTTGAACTCCTGCGCCTTGGCAGCGTCACCAAGACGATCTTGTCCAAGATTCAGCAATTCTCCGTTCGGTGTCCGCAGGATAAACTGGTGTGTGACCATCCACCGTTCTCTTTGTCTGGCATGACGGTGGCACGACAGCTGGTTCAAATGATTCGCGACAGTTGCTCGTGGAAACTTGAACGGAAGAAGGTCCTCAGCGCATTTGCCAAGGATATGTCGAAAGCCAGCGGCAAGCTACCTCGCGTCCAAAGCGAGCCACAGCTTTCCAAATATGAACTGCCAAACTCTTAACTTAACGGCGTGTCAGTCTTCAACTATCTGCATGATAACCATTCCGTGGACGAGAACTGTCGGGATGGAGGGGGGAGTGCATGTCAGGGACGCCATGCTTTGGAACAAGTGAAACGGCGCCCCGTCATTCGCGCTGCCCGTCGCTGCCACGATGCCCTGAACTACTCAAAACAGGGCCACGGGCGCTCGCTCTCCACTTCGTCAACTTGAACTCGTCATGGGGTGGGAATCCTTTAGACTTCAAGAAATTTTACGTCGTCGAGAATTCGCGCTTTGTTCGAACCATCGACTACTCGGCCAACGAGCCACGCAGGTTGGCCGTCTAGCACTTCCAATTCACGCATATACGCCTGGTTGATCAAACATGAGGTGGCCATTGCGCATTCTTCAGACGATTTTTAGTACCTCGGCATTTTCAGCTGGCAACGTCACGAGCAGTCCCCCTGACGTTTCGGACGAGTACCCTTGCGGCAGCCTCCAATTGTTATTGAAAGCTGCATTGATCTCGAGCATGTCTTTGATGATGGGCAGTGTGTGCAGCTTAAAATCCACAGCCATCTTCTGTGACTTGGCCAAATTCGAAGCATGGCCGAGGATGCCAAAACCAGTCACGTCTGTCGCCGACGTCGCTCCATACTGGTGCAGAACACATGAAACCATACAAAATTAGACTTGGGGATGGATGACGGTCGACCCACCTTGTGCATCAATTTTGCCGCGGTGATGTTCAATCGCTCCATGGACTCGGATGCTTTGGCAAACGCTATGTCGGCCGCTTCCTTGGTCAAGAAGTGCTGCACCTTTTGCCACCGATGCGGCTGGTCCTTCATTTGCAATGCATTGACGGCGAGTTGGGTTCTAAACACGACGTGATTTTTCATTGAAATTTAGACAATTACGTACCCGAGGGGTTTGGTCAAGACGAGAACTTCGCCTGCCTTGGCGTTTTCAGGACGAATGATTTGGGATTCTAATTCACCGCGTGAGACAAATTCCCCAACTAACTTGTCGCTATACCATGGCGAACGCTCATGGCAACGCCACCCACGATGGGCCACGGGTTCATCACAGTCTGCCCTCCAGTCACATTAGTTCCTGCTTCCCGCGCCAAATCGTTGAAGCCATGGATCAGCTGTGTTGTCACAACATCGCGCTCGATGTCCGTCATGAGGCGCGAAACTCCAAGGATCATGAGCATCGTGTCCACCTCGGTGACGCCCATGGCGTACAGATCGGACAGGACGTTGGCGCACGCAATGCGTCCCTACGTACGGCGGATCGAGTGAGACGACGAGGGGAATCGAGGATACGATGGAAACACTGTACTTGAACATAAGGATCTTGTACCAAGGGGTAAAAGAAGTCGGTGGTCGACACCTGGTACATGTCCTTCATTAACGGGTTCTTGATCTTGACCAGACTCGAGTCCATTCCTGGAGTCTACGTGACCGTAAGTCAACTAAAAATTAGTGAGGTGTGTACCTCGTTGGGTTTGAGGTCGTTAGCTATCCCAGATATGTAAGTGAGTAGTTTTTCCTGGGGCAGCTTGCAGCCTCATCCTTTCAGTTCGCTGAAAGACGTGAGGCGAAAGTCTTCGCGAAGTCCATGCTCAACCGGCGAAAACGGTGCACGCTTCTTCTTCGTATTCAATGACGGATCCGTCAATTCACGGCGGATTATCGCGTCCACCGCATCCTTCGCGGCGGCGTCGCTTAGTGGCATGACTGCCGCCGAGCAAGTCACAATGTGAGGAAGGACGTCGGACAATCCAGCGCTCTAACTGGTTTATTAATTGCACATTATTGTCCAATCATTACTATCTTCACATGTGACCACGTTTTGGCTCGAACCGTCGCGTTGGTCGGCAGAACCCTGCGTCGAAGCATTTTGTTGGCAGCTCCTTTCAACGCGCGTGCAAATGGCCATTTACTCATAGACAAATGCACGATCGTACCGGTGTGTGAACCATACGACTTGAATCCATCCGAGTCATGAATCCAAGAATCACCACAAGATGGAGACTCTTGCACACGATCGACCGTTCACAGAATTCACTCCCCAGGCGATCTCATACCGTGGCGCGATGGGCAAGCTTCTACATATCATGGGGCGTTATTCCAGCCATGTTTGCCTTAGTTGAACGAGAGCAATTGCCGCGCTCGGCCGCCGACCCCCAAACCCCGTGAGCCAACGTGCCACATGCTTGAGTATGATTGGCTGAATTTCAGCATGCATTTTAATCCTGTGGAATTTGTTCTAGAGGTCAATATCTTAGAAATTGTATGTGAATCACTCGCGTTTGGCAATCATATATATATTATTTCTCGGACCCCATCGCCCCTCAGTGCAATTCCAAAACGCGACTGCGGCGGGTGAGCATGCGATTCGGAATCTATGCGGCGACGAGCCTCTTGGCCGGCGCGGGCCTCGTGGGTTATACATACTACACGCGTCAGCAGTTCTATCCCACGGTGATTTACCTGGTGACGTCGAAGGTTAGCGTCATGGTCCTGTGCAACGTGGCATTTGTGATGACTGTCCTGTTTGGCCAAGTGTTCAAGCGGATCTTCTTGGGTACCCTTCGAGATGCCGAGATGGAGGTGAACGACCACCCTAAGTACATGCGCATGATTGTCCATGTTTCGTAGATGCTCTACGACCACGCACGGTTTGCAATTGCAGAAACATGCTTTACGCTGTCGGTATTCCGCGAAGAAATGTCTCTTCGAGTGCTTGGTCTGTTCACAATCCTGCTCTTCCTGAAGACGTTTCACTGGTTGTGTCAATGGCGTGGAGAACATGTACAATGCTCCAGCAAGTCATGCCACAACGGGCTCATGGGACTGTGACTTAGATTGAGCAATCCGAAGTCGTGTCTCGAATCACCCACGTCCGACTGGTTCTACTCATGGCTCTACTGGCTGCGGTGGACATGATTTTCGTGATCGTGTCAGGGCTTCAAGTAGCTGAGCGTGGACCGTCCGTGTTGGTCCTGTTTGGCTTTGAGGTACGACGACCGATTACCTGCGCCCAACTAGCTGACGTCCAACTTAGTTCTTGATCCTGTTTGTGACCCTGGTGGCCGTATTCTTGCGCTATATTCTGCATCTGATTGATGCCCGTGTCGAAGGCACGTGGACGAACAAGTTTACCTATGTGTTCTATTTGGAACTGGTCACGGAAATTGTCAAGCTTATCGTGTATCTGGTAACGCCGCTGTCGTCATGCAAGTCTCATGTGTTCGTTAGATTTTCTTCATGATTATCTTTACGTATTACGGCATGCCGCTGCACTTGCTTCGCGATTTGTGGATGTCGATTCAGGTACTGCCCAGAGATGCAGCTGCTTCCCCATCCTCATCTGACGACAGAACTTGCAACGACGCATCGTCGCGTACTTTCGGTACCGTCGTATCACAGCCAACATGAACGAGAGGTTTCCAAACCCGACGGAAGAAGAAATGAACGAAACCGATCGCATTTGCATCATTTGCCGCGAAGAAATGACGCTCGAGACGGCCAAGAAGCTGCCATGCACGCACATTTTCCACTTGAATTGCTTGCGTATGTGGTTGCAGCGCCAGCAGGTGAATGCTTGTGTCGATGTGAATTGCGCAGTACACTCACTCCTCGCCCTTGCAGTCTTGCCCGACATGCCGCTCAAATATTCCTATCGACGTGAATTCCGCACGCCCTGAAGATACTCCTGAGGCAAATATCCCCCCTCGTGGAGGAGTCAACCCACCCCCACCGCAAGGACAAGCTCAAGAGCAAAACAATCCACCCCTTCAACCAGAAGCACCTGCACCCCAACAGCCCCAAGCGCAGCCGCCCCGTCGTGAAAATCCCCAACGCAACCTCCCAGGGTTTGGGCAATCACCTGCGCAGCTGCAACAAACTCCAGCTCCCGCTACGACTCCTGCTTCATCCATGCAACCGACCGCTCCTCCGCCTACACAAAGCCTTCCGCCAGCCGGAGCTCATGCTCCACCACATGGAACTCCACAGGCGCACTCCACGCATCCAGGACTAGGTGTGCCCCCTTTTCCTGCCACCACAGCCCCAGTGTTCGGGGCGACACATTTTGACCCTGCTGCAGCCGATTCCAGTGCGCACTACATTCAATCGCTGCACTATGCGCTTCAGTTGGATCCGCGCTTTTTGCAGTACCAACTCGACATGCTACAAGCGCAACTCCACGTCTTGCGAGCCACGTCGTTGGCTTTGCACAGTCAATCCGGCTTTGCCCCGATGCCGGGCTTTCCCGCATCGGTTCCCACGGGTGCAGTTCCTCCGCCATTTGGGGTTTTTCAACCTCCGTCCTCTTTAAACCAAGTTCCCGTCCCTGAAGCTGTACCGGCCTCTGCACCCCCTGCTCCCGTGGCTGCACCTCCCACTACCACCAATTCAATCTCTGTTCCGGCGGCTGCTCAAACTCCTACATTGTCCCCAGTTCCTTCGACACCAGGGCAGGAATTCCCTGTCCCATCAACTCCCGCGCTTCCGCACGTACGTGAGCCCGAAGGGCAAGATGTTACTGTACCGAGCACTCGATTCAACCACCTTTCCACGGAGCAAGTTGCTGCGCAGGCGGACGTTGCATCCGAAGTACCCCCCGCTCCAGTCGTTCCTCTCACGCCGGAGGAAATCGAACGCGACCGCCGACGAGAGGAGCTGCGAAGGATATACGCGAAGCGATATGGCAATTCTTCTGAAGCCGTCGACGAAGAATAGCGGAGATTGCAATGCGCAGTGCATCTGTGCTTGTAAGACGAATGAGAAGGAAATACTGGCATTACAGGATTATAAGTTCGCTATCTCATCAACAAAGAGGGAAGCATCATCGGCATGAATCATGGTTGGTCTCATGCAGACGACGACTTGTTCAGTGGCCGGTTGCTCAGAAACGAGGAATTCCATCAAGAGAAACTCTCGACGAAATGAATCATGTGCTTCCCTGGCACAAATGCAGCATCCAATGATAAGAATAAAATGTCATAGTTCTCGATCCGTCATCGAGGCTACAGCAAGCCTCAAAGGCAAACCGCTTGATATTGTTGTTGGCCACAAGTAGCACTAACGCACCGAAGGAGTCGACGTGGAGGTTAGAGACTCTAGAAAATGTAGCCGGCTCATATCATACGCAATCGATCCCCTCAATAAATTTGGTCTCTTCAGAAGGATTCAGCTAGAGCTAATAACTGTGTGGATCACTGGGGCAGAAGCATCATACATATCAAAACATCGCATTGCTCGGGATGGAAATTTTTGTCGACATGGTTGGTTCAGTGTCTAACATGTGTAAAAAATTTGGAATTCGTCGTTGCAACGCGCCACATGCCAAGCAAGGCTCTCTCACACACAACATGCACACCGTCGAAAGGGATGTAGAAATGCTGATTATCGACTCCCGTTTTCGCAAAACGCGACTAGGTAGCCAATTGCCCAGCGCTTCTAGCCACTCCCCAGGAACTTCGCGATGGGCTGATGGACCCACCATCCCTGGGGGAACCTGCTATATGCCAAGACATCATGGAAGACCCGAAACAATATGGACAATTGAACGAGGGGCAAAATTTGGCACGGCTGCGCGCTGTCCAATTTGAGAATGAAAAGCCACGGCGACCTCCTTGTCCAGAGTTGTCTTGGTAGCCAACCGTTGGCGTTTGGTGTGCCAATACATTTTCCAAGTCAACTCCATTTTGCGGAATTTTGTAGCTGCAATCTCGCATCCGGATGGATCGATTCTCGAAAAGGCAAGTAGTGATACTAATAGTAGGGTACTGCTCTGGAACCGTACCGGTATAGTACTGACCTGCCGATGAAAGATGGGTTGTCCTGGTGAAATACGCGGCAAGCCGAACGGCTCTCGAAAAGTTCATACACATGTGGGAAGGCCAGCTTTCTCTGTCATGCACCCAGCGATGTGGTGGAGGTGTGTGTGTACCTAGGTCACAGGACAATGCCCTTCGTCCGGCGACCAAGGTCTACACAAATAGGAGTCAAGTGCGTGCTAATTCTTCATTTTGCTTATGATGTGACTATGTCCTTCACAGTTCGTCGTGATGTCGCTATTGTACTCGAAAGCGAATTCTCCCACACATTATTCATCAAGTGCTTGAATGCCAAATTCAATCTATCAACAGCACAAGGGATTTTCCATACATTCATTTTTATGGTACATATAATCTATCCTGCCATCGTATGTGGATGATCATGCTGTTGGCGGTGGTGGACTGGATTCACATTCATGCGTTCTACGCCACGCTGTGGACATCGCAGCATGTCGTTCCCTTCATTCGTCGAGTTGTCGAGGGCAGTTGCTCTTTGCAGTTCTGGTCGCATCGCCCGCCATTGTGTGTTTTTTGGCGCTTCAGCCAACTTCGCGTGTGGGACGCTTGCTCGACGCGACCGCGACGACGTGCTAGTCGGGATGTCACTACAGCTCTTCTTGCGTAGCGCCGCAAGAAACGGTTCGGGTTTGAAGAAGAGGTCCATGCTATTGATGCGAATCGTTGGGTCAACTTCAATGATGGCGAAGCCAGTCAACTCAATCAAGTCGCCTTCGGACGCGTCGTCCATTTTCGAGGCGCAGTAGCCCCAATGCCGCCACGAAAATGAGACGCGGGGAAGAGCGGAAAACACTTGGAGGACCTCCCACGCAAATCCATCAGGAAACATTGACGAAAATGCTGAGTATGACCGCTGGCGAGATGATCCGCTGGCGTCGTAGACATGGCGCGGGCAGTGGGAGAGCAACCCGTTGTACTTGCCACTTCGATGCAGGTCTGCGGCCGTGACTGGTGGCCCCATGTTCACTTGGAGCTACAAGTACGAGGCGTGTCACAAAAGAGAATTAGAGCGTCAGGCGCCTCACCGTGAACATATCAGAGTGCATAGTGGACCACTGGTCGAGATTGGCCTTGTGGCTAACTTCCATCTCCCACTTCTTCATCAGGTTCTGGACCATCCACTCGAGAGACTGTTGCGGGTGGTTGTGGGTCTTGCCTTGGAGAAATGCAAGATCGAGAAGCGCATAGTCGGGCTTGCCAATTCGCCACTGAATCGACGGGTCGTCCAGGTTTCCTCGAAACGGCACAATCTGGCCAAAGTGGGTCTGCAATGTGCAGATTTCGTCCTTCGCTTGACCGATAAGCCCTCCGTTGCCCTGAAGTGGGATGACGGCTGTTGGCACGTAGAGATAAATGTCGCTTTGAGCTTCTTCAGGCGTAAGCGTGGTATGAGATTGCTCTGACGCTGCCGAGCGCACGTTCTGAGCCTCTAGTGCATTCTGCGTCAAAGGTGGATGAAGAGGCTGTCTCGCAGACAATGCTTGGATCCATTGTTTGTACTCTTGGCCGCTAGTGGCAGCTAGCGTGATCGTGCCGTTTTTGAGTGTTGTGACGATGAAGCCGAAATGCACAGACCGATTGGTTTGCACCATCATGGCTTGGACACGAAACTTCCACGGCTTGCCTTCGTAGTCATCCGTGGCATATGCCGTCAACTGGTTGGTTCGGGTTAAGACAAAGTAGTACATTGTCCATCCTTTGAAGAAGCCCCCTTTGAATCGCAGCCAGCTGCTCACTGACACTGACGACGCCATCGCAAGGCTAAATCCGTCGTCGAGTGGTGGTACGTCGGATGTCTCCGGAACGTTTTCATTGATGCTGTGCGTCAGCGTTCGCGATGGCATGCTTCCGCGGCGCGCCATGTGATCTACCTGTAGCTCACGCCGCTCTGGAGATTTCAAGTTGATGGGTGACGCTTGAAGGCGCAGAAGCCCGGCGGCGAGTGTCGTTTTCGAATTTTGTTCGACACGCCGTATCCGGATGTACCATCCAGAACGAGTGGAATATGCGGATCCGAGAATTTCCCGGATATTCGAGATGAAAAACTGCATATTCCTTCACTGCGAAGATCACCACGAGAAAAATCCAAAATGTATCGATACTTTTGCATGCAAACACCAAATGATTTTGCCCCGCGACTCAATAAAAAAATTCCATGGATATCCGTATCAAATCCCCTAAATAATCATTGAAATCCAACGCACCCGTGGACGTGGCCATGAAGTGTCCATGGAGAAAGGCATGTCCCCATTGTGGTAGTAAAATAAAGGGAGTAAATCGTTGTGTTACCATTCTTGGAAATGTTGGGTACATGCAAATGGAGCAAGTCGAAATTGCCTTTTGGTGGTTGGATAAGGTTGCGCTTAAATAGGGTATTTCAACATCGCGTACTCCTAACGGCCACAACAACGTATCTTCCAACTTTCACCCGCGACACGATAGTGGGCCATGATGAAGCGCTTCTTCTCGACCGGCATCAAGAAGAAGTTGACTGTGGATCAACTCCATGCTCGTGGTGGCCTTCAGGGCAAGCGAGTGCTGGTGCGCGCGGATCTGAACGTTCCATTGAATAAGCAGGACCCGAGCGTCATCACCGACGACACACGTATTCGAGAAGCGTTACCGACGTTGCAATACTTGCTGCAACGAGATGCATCGGTCGTGTTGTGCAGCCATCTAGGCCGTCCGAAGGGCCAAGTCAACGAAAAGATGCGCCTAACTCCTGTCGCGAAACGTCTATCCGAGCTGTTGGGAAAGCCTATAGTTTCGGTCCACGACTGCGTTGGTCCGGAAGTTGACGTGGCCAAGGCTGCACTTACACATGGCGAGGTTTTACTTCTCGAAAATTTGCGGTTCCATCCACAAGAAGAAGACAACGATCCTGCTTTTGCCAAGGATCTGGCCAAGAACATTGATGTGTTTGTGAACGACGCGTTTGGCACTGCCCATCGCGCGCATGCGTCGACAGAAGGTGTGACCAAGTTCATTCCAGTCTCGGTGGCTGGCAAACTTCTCGAGAAGGAACTCAAGTACATGGGTGAAGCGGTGGAAAATCCCAAGCGGCCATTGGCGGCCATCATTGGCGGTGCTAAAGTGTCGACGAAGATTTCCGTGCTGGAATCGCTGTTAGAAAAGTGCGACAAGATCATTCTCGGTGGTGGTATGATCTTTACGTTCTATCGAGCCCAGGTACATCTCAATCCTTCATGCTTCAACATCCGCGTGACCTCGAGAGCCCAGGGCATCTCGGTGGGCAAGTCGATTGTCGAAGAAGATAAGATCGACCTGGCCAAAGCGCTGCTGGATAAGGTATGAAGTGGTTGCTATGCTTCGCTATGCTCACATTTGTTTGTCATGCGTAGGCCAAACAAAGAGGCGTCAAGTTCATCCTACCCAACGACGTTGTAGTTGCCGACAAGTACGATGCGAAGGCGGAATCCAGGGTTGTGAGCATATACAACATCCCAGACGATTGGCTCGGTCTTGGTACGTGTGATTTCACCTGCGATTATCGTTGCTCATGATGTGGACAGATATTGGCCCAGAGACGCAAGGCGTGTTTGAATCAGAATTGCTCGACTGTGACACGATTGTGTGGAACGGGCCGATGGGGGTGTTTGAGTTTGACAAGTTTGCCGAAGGCACCAACTTTATTGCCAAAGTCCTTGCGAGCCGCACCCATGACGTGAGTTTGCTGTATTCCTTAGGGTGATTCCAACGATGTGTGTGCGTTGAATGCAGGGCGCCACCACTGTCATCGGAGGCGGCGATTCCGTCGCGGCTGTCGAACAGGCCGGCCTCGCCAAATTCATGAGCCACATATCGACAGGTGGCGGTGCGAGCTTGGAACTATTGGAGGGAAAGGTTCTCCCAGGCGTAGCAGCGTTGAATGATGAATAAACAAAGGTTTCGTGTCCCAAAGCGATGGATTCGACGATGTCCGCATCGAATCACACGGGTGATTTTGGTTTGAACGGACTTCAGACTCCATAAAGCTTGAACAATGCCGTTGCGATAGAGCTGTCGAATCAAAAACTTGAAAAGGGAAAGACTGTTGAGACTCGTTACAAAGAAGCGTGGTGTCCATTCTCCACACCATCGCCATGGACTACCGACAGGCATTTCGTATGTGAGGTTCTGTTCCTCGACCGATGCATCTTTGGCAAGACCATCTTGGCAAGATAGACCCCGAGTCTCGCTCCACCTTTTCGTGGTTGGAGGGGACGCATTGTTTGTGCAATCTCAACACACGAATAAGGATCGAAAACTACCACGATTGCTGACATGCCCTCTCATTTGCTAAATCTTCAGAAGCTTGAATAATGCAGCAGTGTTTGGGCAAATACTCGAATCCAACATTCCGTGGCTAGGCTGGCCAACCCCTTCAGCCAGAGCGACTGGGGCATTGGACACAGCATTCAATGCTGTTAGGAATGGCTATGCTCCGTGAGATTTCTTCATTTCCTGAGCGCCGTGAGTCTTGTGTGGCGAGATGGCGAGCCGTGTTCTGCGTAACATCAGATCATCCTTCTTGATGTTGAACTGTTGAGCTCATCAATTGATAGTATTACTAGTATGTCATCTGGAATTGCAGAGGAGTAAGTACTAACTGAAATCCATTGTCGTAGTCGGAGTATGTTGGAACTATTAGTAATACTAAACATCTCCATCTTGATCTCAGAATTCAAACTGCGCGCCAAAACACCCTGCAAGTCGACACCCCCCGTCGACAGCAGAAGTACCCGATCAGACTAGCATACTCGACAAGGCAAGCATTCACCCAGGGAGTACAGGTGATTCATCCGGAGGGCGGCAGTTGTAGAATCGACGATGGCGAGAAGTGGCATCCACAAGAGAAAGGCACACGAAATCGCGGAACGCTTCAAGGATATTGAGCAGGATAACCCTCCCACAGGCGACAATGAAGAATCGCGAGAATCCGATGATGAATACGATGGACCAGAACTCTACATGTCTCTCTTTTTTGAGAAGAACAATCTTGGACTAGCCGTATTCGACTGTTTGGCTTCAAAGTTATCAATCACTCAGCTTGTCGTGAACCAAGCGGACCTGTTGATGGTGAATTCTAGAATGAGCATCTATTCTTTGTGCATTAACAACCGCACAGATGATCGACCGTTTGTTGACGCAAATTGAGCCAGGAACAGTTATTGTGTCCAAGCTGAATGTTGCACAGCACGACATTTTGAGTCCATTGAAACGAGGTTCATTTGACAGAATCTGCCCCAACATTTGCAAGGTAAATTGACATCAAGCAGCTCAGTATTTCCTTATACAATTTTGTAGCATTCGGGTAGACTTTTATATGTGTACTCTCCGTGACGTGACAGGGAGTAGACTTCGCATATTTGAAAGCCTGCAAGGAGATTGAAGAACTTCGAATTGGAAAAGAGTGGAGCGCTGATGCAGATTTGTTCGATGGCTCAACAAAGTTATACGCTCTGCGCAATGCAGAAAACAATGACATTTTATGTAGGAGGGAAAAGTACAAGTACTTGAGCAGCTTTTTCGATTTCGAAAATAAAGAAATGATTCGCGCAGTTGGAGGTGGGGTCGAATCTCAAGAACTAAATAACATTGGCACTTAGCAATGATTGCATTCCTATCAAATGCTAAAGTGAGCGCACCAACCTATGTTTTCCAACGGTGTGAATAGATTTGCAACCAGCTCGACGATTCAACGTCATTTTTCGTCACCACTATTGAGCAAGCATCGTTCGACGATGTAATGCTTGTGGATTCGAACACACTAAGAGCACTCCAAATTTTCAATCAAGTACCGCAGCACATGAAAAATGTGGTAATACGGTGATGTAGGAACACCATCCATCACAAATTAAGGTACAACAGTTATGCAAGTGCTACTAACTGCCACGGCTGCAAGTCATGGGAAAGGTCAAAGGAAGGCTTCAGGTAGCGTATTTTGACGACATGCGCTTTGTACCAGCACTTAAGAGAACTCCAGCGTTTATGCACTACTTGACAACACTCTCACAAAGAACGGAAAATTCCTCTTGCGACAATGGCTCCTAAAACCACTAACTGATATTCCAAAGATCGTGGGCCGTCACAACACTGTCGCGTTTTTCGTCGATGCATGTCAGACAGACATAGTAAAAACATTGGTAAGGCAGTTTTTTTAGTGTACGAGCTCAAAATATCTTCTCAGGCGACAACATTGCGAGGATTTCGAGATGCATTTCGAATCCTCCGCCGCGTGAAAATGATGCGAGCAAAGGGCCGCGATTGGTTTGGATTGCAACAGTGCATCTCTTGCTTTCTGTCGATTAGGTAACTTTTCGCTACCTTGTCAAACTCTTTGACCATATCATAAATTAGAAAGATATTGGTGGAATGCGCGCTGCCCGGAGATTTTGACTTGATGAAGCAATTTTCAAGTCTGTCGACTTTGCAAAATATCAACAACTTGCTGTGCAACGTGATTGATTTTGATGCGACAAAGCAAGAGGCAATATGCATTATTCGAGAAGGTGTCTCGGTTGAATTAGATGCAGCACGGGAAAATCTCGCAAAAGTTGAGAAGGTGCCATGAAAAATTTTGTTCAATGCTAATATTACGATCAGATTCTTGCCGACTTGTCGGGTGCTCTCCAAGAAGAGTGGCCACAATTAAATGCCATCTCACTGCAATTTATTCCACGCCTTGGTTATGCCATAAGAAATCCTTCAGGAGGACCGGTGCCACCTACTTTGGAGTTCCAGTTTGAAGACAACTCGTTCAGCTACTTCAAGGTATTGCGGAGATGAATTTTGTGCATTTTACAACAGAAATACAGTGCCCCAAGTGTCGACACCTGGACGTCGAGTTCGGTGATATTCACGGCAACATTTACGATATCCAACGACGTACGTGCATCATGCAACATTGCATCATCGATGTCGTTTGTAAACTCCAACCACTTGTCGAAAGACCTAACGGTCGAATTGACGAATGCCGTCCTTGCGGAGCAACAACCACTCCACGGTACATGTTTTTGTTGGTAGCTTATCTCACAACTACCTAGATATGACGCATGCAATTGCAGAACTCGATTGCTTTTTGTCCTTGGCGTCGTGTGCGCAAAACTTCAACTTTGTCAGGCAGGCCATCAATATTGTCTTGACATCTTGAAAATTGTTAGTGTAGACCAACTATGAGCGACGAAATTATATTCAGTGCAAAGGAAGCTCGACACCCCTTGCAAGAATTGACTGTTGAAGCTTACATTCCGAATGACGTTATGCTTGGACCTGACGTTGGGCTGATTTCCGTTGTCACAGGACAAAATGGATCTGGTATTTTATGTTTAACACTTGTGTACATAGTCTGTACTAGAATTTCGTGACTAGGTAAATCGGTCTTTTTGAAGATGGTTGGCGTCTTGCAAATCATGGCTCAAATTGGTTCGTTCGTCCCGACCACAACAGGTTAATCATGCCATTATGTGCTTTGTCCTTAATGATTTTTCGCAGCAAAAATTGGCGTAGTCAACAAAATATTTTCTAGAATTATGAGGTACTCGATGCATGTATGCCGTTGCTTGTGAAACAATTTACAGCTTGGAAACCGCAACACTTTGTCAAAGTGCATTCTCTATCGACTGCAATCAAGTAGGCGTATATTTTCTGTACATACCGCGTAACTCAGTAATTTGGATTAGCTGGCTACAATGATAAATCACGCAGACTCGAAGAGTCTACTTCTCATTGACGAATTCGGCAAAGGTCGGCACATTTTTAATGTATCGGCTCAACAATTGACAGGCACTTGTCCTTCCGATGGCATTTGCCTGTTGGTAGGCTTGTTTTTGTTCCACGCAACGCTTAGCCCACTACATAGACGGCAGCGATAAAGCATTTTAAAGATCAAGTGGAACGTTGCGGAGGTCCACGGGCTATTGTAACGACGCACTTTCTGGTACTGCGATTCACACAATGATGCTAACAACACATCAGGAAATCTTTCGTGAACCAACACTCAGGACAGTCCTGGGGTTTGAATCATCTACAAGTGCTGAACCCAACTGGCGAAGCAACGATGAAAGCCCCTCGGCCATATCGACGTATGTCATGGCCTCTGTGTCGGTGGACAGCGAAGACAAGGGCATAAAGAAAACAAATTCGCTCTATGAGTTAGTCCCAGGGATTTCAACGTCCAGTAACGCCATTCAATGTGCCTATACAGCTGGTATTCCCCTCGGGCAATCAAACGACTGATTTCAATGAGAAATATCCTGTCATAGGAGTGGACGAAGACACATTGAAACGCGCAGCCCAAGTCCTTCAAGACGGACAGAGTCGCCGTCAAATCACTGTACCGAGTGCTCGTCCGACACCTAAAACTCTTGCCATTCAAGAAGCATTTTACAACTTGACGGAGCAATTCATGTCCGAAGAGAACTGGAAAGAGTGCGCGCGTGAAAAGATCGACGAATTGATTCACGTGGCCCGATCCATCGATGCCCTTCGCTAATGGCCACACCGAATGCACTTCATATAACTTTGATTATTCTTTGATTTCGAATTCAAGCTCTTTTCCGTCAAATAGTGGTGGAATGTCGATCGAATCATTGTCGACTAGGAAATTGGGCTGTGGAATTTCATCATGGTCCAGGTGGATCGGCGGTAGTTCGGTATTCAAGTCTAACATGCCGCGTCAATACGTAATGGAGGGAACTTCAGAGGTTCGCACCATCCAAGTCATCGACGGCCTTCTCGATGGCCAGCGCCGCGTCCACTTCTTGCTGCCACGACAAAATTTCAGCGTCTATTTGCGCTTGGAGTTCGTTTATGTTCATGTCATTGTCTCGTTTGCTGGACAGTCCTCCGTATGCGATCTCTATGTCCTGGTTCAATCAATGTTACCGTGATAAATCCCGAGTGCGGGCAAACCTCGTCCGAGCGCGGTTTCTTCATGAGCATTGGGAATTGCGAAGCCAACTTTGCAATCGATTCTTTTGATTTGGATGCTTCGTGGCGCTTTGTTTGTCGCTCTTGATGCGGTGTGTCATCAAAGTCGCGAAACTGACAGCTTCCCTTGTTGTTTGATATGTCGCCCAACGCCCGCCTTTACACGCACATCCACGTGATTTCGTCGCTTTATCTAGGAAGAGGTACCTCGGTTTCGCGGATGCCTTGTTCGTTGACGAAATCGACAAGGTACTCGCTGAACCTGCGCCGACAGCGCGGTCCACGTTGAATTGAGTCTCCTTTTGCTTTACAGACAGACCTACAGCGCATCTCCATTGGCGTGGCGATTCTTTCACCGCGCTCACCTTGGAACACAAGCTGCCGGCGAATGTGCGCCGTGTTTTCCTCCCCAACCTGCACCTCGTCCATCATCATGGCCCCAGCACAGTTGGAAATTCAAAACGCAGGATGTCCGGATAATTATCCGACGTATTATTGCAGGTAATCACATATGAACGTTTGTCGCAAAAATCTTAAATAAATTTTTGACCATGTGGCCATGAAATATAATAATGGCGCATGATGGACCATACAAAAACAAAGTATCCTGTCGAGAATTAAAACAAGGGACAGAGCGAATTCGTTTATCTTGATTAAAGTATATTTGTAAAATCACGGCAATTGACGTGGTGGCATTAGCGCCCCCTTGCCTCAACCAATTGATTACCGAGTGTGGCTGTGGCGTGGTGGTTGGAAATGCATATCGTCTTCGCCGTGACAACTTTGCTCGCTGTTGAAAGCGTCCGCGACCTGCTCCAAGACCTCTTTGCCTCGCTCTCGAACGTCTTCTTCGAAAACATGTCGTGCGTCATTTCCAGCGTCGTCGTCTTCGGCATCCTCGCCAAGTTGCTCGGCAAGAGCGACAGCAAGGACGTCTCGAAGAAGCAAGGCGCGTATGGATCCATCCCGATCCACAAAGAAAGCAAGCTCGCGCAGCTGTCCCATCCGTGGGAAGTTGTCGCGGCTGTCAAGATGCTGCTCAAGAACAAGCTTGCCGGCCCCAAACAATTGCCTGCCAACTTGAACGCAGACGACACGTGGTGCTTTAAAATGGTGAAGAAGGTCAGCCGCAGTTTTGCCATGGTGATCATCAACCTCCCCGAACAACTGCGCTTGTCCATATGCATCTTCTACTTGGCGCTGCGTGCGCTGGATACGGTCGAAGACGACATGAAGCGCATCGACAGCAAGACAAAGATCAAGATGCTGCACGAATTCCACGAAAAGTTGTACGACTCCAAGCTGTCAATTCACGGCATTGGCGAAGGCGACGAAGCCACGGTGCTAGAGCAGATCGCAGCCATGAACCGATCGTTTGCATCGTTGCCTGTGTCGCACCAGGAAATTATCGCCGACATCACCAAGAAGATGGGAGCCGGGATGGCTGAGTTTGTTGAAGTCGATATGGGCCAAGGCACGGTGCGCACCTCTGACTACGACAAATATTGCTATTACGTTGCTGGGCTCGTCGGCGAAGGGCTGAGTCGTCTTTTTTCTGCCAGTGGGCTGGAAGCGCCGTCGGTCGGGTCCCTCACCACACTCAGCAACTCGATGGGGTCGTTTTTGCAAAAGGTTAACATCATCCGCGACTACTTAGAAGATTTTGTCGAAGGTCGTACGTTCTGGCCCCAAGAAATTTGGAAAAAACACATGAGCAACCTCGGTGACATGCGCGACCCGGCCAAGCAACCTGCGAGCCTCGAATGCTTGAACGAGATGGTGTTTGATGCACTTCGCCACATCCCCGACTGCATGACGTACCTCAGCGGCATCCGCCACCCGGACGTGTTTTTCTTTTGCGCGATGCCGCAGGTCATGGCGGCGGCCACCCTCGCCAAGTTGTACAACAACCCACTTGTATTCACGGGCGTCGTCAAAGTCCGCAAGGGCACGGCTGCTTTCCTGTTTGAACACGCTACGTCCATGCCCAAGGTCCGTGGCATGTTCAGCAACTACGTCCAGGACATCCAGGCGAACGGGACTCACACACCGGGTCGCCAGGCTGTCCTCGACCGTGCCCTGCAAGCAATCCACAGCGATGTGCTCGAGATGCCAAACATGAGCGGCATCGCGTTTTTTGCGTTCTTTGCCCTCCTGGGGTCCCTCGGGTACCTCATCTCGTCGAACGGCTTTGTATTGCCGCCCCTGACGTCGTCGTTTGACGTTGGCATGGTTGCTGTCGTGTTTGCCAGTGTTGCGCTGCTCCTGTCGTTTGGTTTTTCGCCGTTTGTCGAGATGGAGCAGACCAAATCGACGAAAAAGACGGACTAACGACCACTTGTATAACAATAACAAAACACCATTTGTGGACCATGGACCATGTTGCTACGACGTATGATGCTCCATCAAATCCTCGTCGAGAAACGTTCCGCCGTTGGACGTGCGGGTGTACTGCTCTTCTAACGACCGCAGCGACGCGTTCGTGACCTAAATCAGAGTCCATCCATCAGAATGCATGCCTCCTGTCGGCGTGATGGATACCTTGAAGCTCATGGCGAGGGCAAAAAACGTGTGGATAGACGAGTCAGTCTACAAACGCCATCGAGTGACGAATTGAAGCTAGAATCGATCGGGTACGTCGGGGACGAGGTCGAATAATCTCGTGTGGAGAAGCGTCAAGAGGGCGTCCGTGTGGTGGGCATGCAGCAGCATGCGCTACCACGACCGAGAGCCATCGTTACCAGACGACACAACGGGGGGAACGAACCTTTGCCATAGACAGCAGGGCAAGTGCCACGCGAAAAAACGCTTTCCACCCTGTGGCAAAGAACAAGTCGAAGAAGCGCAGCACCACACGAGGCGCGAGCGAGTGAAAGTTTGCAAACAGTGTCAAGAACCATCTGCGTCGCCGCGAATGGGTCAGAAGCACACGATGCGAGCGGGGGATGCGTACCCGGAAGCATACACATTCGGGTGAATCTGGTGGTGCACGAGATGATCGTGGAGGTCGCGGAGATGAACGTGTACGAGCTCGTCCAACTACGTCATGCCATCATCGATACCAAAGAGTCACAACGACATCGTACTTGATAAAATCGAGCGTTAAGAAGTGGCAGGCCTGGGCTGTAGATGCTCTTGAGATCGTACGTTTCCATGAGCACACAAAGCAGCCGAAACGCGTACGAGCAATCCCATTTGGACCCGAATAAGAGGATCGACGCCACGTAATCCATGCCCTGCAGCATGCATGTTGCTCCATCACGGTTGGAACGATGAAAGAACAAACGAACCTGGCAATATCCGATCGATGGGTAGCATGCAGCATATCCATTCAACACACGCTGAAGCGCATGCTTCCGTATATCCTTGAGAGCATTGCGGCTGTACGATTCCACAGGCAGGCTACGATGGCGAGGCGCATTGAAAGTGCGGTCGATATCAATCTGGATTTGGTGCAAATCCTGCGCATGCTTAGGATGAGTCTGCAACGCATCAACGTCGTCCCCCGAACGCCGCTCGACGTCATCCAGAGACGGAATTGCGCCAATCGTCATTTGCCGACGCTTCATGACCGAGCTCCACCACGCCGCTGTCTGACAAGTCGCGCGCAGCAGTTCAATGCTCCACAGCCACTTCAACACTAGTGTCAGATCCCCAACTCGACATAGACGACGTACTTCTTGCCATGTCTGAGGAGGCAAGTCCGTCCGCTAGGCGCAAACAAGAGTCAAATGGATTAGTCGGAACTATGATGTGAACAATACCTGGCACACATCACACACGCGCGACTTCTGCTCCATGCCGTCGATGCGAAGGCGCCCTTTCGAGCAGTTCCCGCACACCAGCGCGCCACAACTCTATTACGAATTGCCCTTTTACCAGAGGGCGGCATCGATTGATTTCACTTGAAAGTCGTACCCGGCAGTGATGCTTTCGTCGGAACGGCGTGAACAAGGCAAAACAAACCATACACACATCCATCGCATCGTCTGGAACCCACGGAGCTCCCGCAATCAGCATGGCATCCGCATGCAGCACCTTGACGCTAAATACGCTCGTCGTGCTGGTGCAGCTGCCTACGCTGACATTCCGAGGCCGAAGCGGCTGCTGCGATGTCTGCATGGCAGCCACGTCCGCTTCCGACGACCGCGATGCGCACTGGAACTGCATCTGAAATCCACGACATCCGGTTCATATCCGGAATTCTAAGCCTCGCAGCACAGTTACATGCGGTTACACATCCAGACGTGGCACTTCCACCACCTCGTGCCTCTTGCAGCCACACTGACATGATGCCAACAGCGCACGGCGCCGCGGAAGAGATGAAAGATCGCAGTGGCGAAGGCAGATGGATTCGTATTAGGATCGGCGCTACGTTTCCAAGTCGATTTGAATCGCGTTGTCTGTGGGTGGGAGTATCCTACAGAATGGGAGACGTTACACCGTATCCCGTTTTGAAAGGGCAAAGTGCACATGGTTGGTTCAGGGTGGCCGTACCCCAAGCCGAGTCTGGCGGGGTCGTGCTTTGGCTCGACGTAGCCCGGTGCAAGAGCGACGCGCTTTGTCTCGAGCATCACGAGCGCCACGAACATCTTGACCTGTCGAAGCGATCGATCAGATTTGAGTGGCCAAGACGATGACGTTTTACTTGGTTCTTCGCAAAGTTGCGGCCAGGACACATGGTCACACCCATCCCGAACGGGTTGAACGCTTCAAGTTGAGCGCTCGTAGCTTGTACAAAGCGATCGAATCTGCGTCCAACAACCTGTGAGGAAATGGCGACGACAAACGACGGAACGTACTGGAACGTTCTGGGCTGCGGAAAGATAGCGTCGTCAAAATGGCCCAAGCTGGGGAAGATCATCACCTTGGATCCTTTGGCCAAATGCACGTGGGAACCCTTCAGTGAAAGGGCATGCACATCAAACCGCGCCATGCACCGAGATGTAAGTACCTCGACGTTTAAGTTGACATCTTCCGTCGCCACACGCATCATCAGCGACGATGCGCTCAACCGTAGCGCTTCGTCCACGGCGCTCGCGAGGAAGACGCATTTGCCCAACTGGTCGCCCGTCCAATCGATGCTTTTCCCAAGGTGCTCACGAACTTCATCGCGCACAGTGCTCCACGCGACAGGGTTGTCGAGTAGATAAAAGAGCGACCAAAACGCCGTCGGGATTGAATTCGCATTCGCTGCCCACAACAGCGCCAACGATTCCTTTGCTGCGTCCAGGGGGGCCACAACGTTTGTAGGAAATGTCGTCTTCACTGCCTACACAGTGTATGATCATCCTCGATGCACTCAAACTGCGCGAGTTTAGGGATGGAGCTTGTGGTGGCGATTACCTCTGTCCGTTTTTGGATGATCGTTGCAGCGTCGGCACCAGGATTGGAATCCAGGGCGTGGACAAGACTGCGTCGTGCTTTCGAAGCCGATGGAAGAAGCACTAACGAATTGAGTGAGTGCAATGCCCTGGCATGACGAGGGGCAGCTGCTTACGTGAGGGTACACCTGCCACAAATAACGGAAACGACGTATCAAACGTTTGAAAGGCTTGTCGTAATGTCGGGTTGTGGTCCACAACGGTATCGCCAAAGAGCACACGCGTGCCAGACTCAAAGATGCACTGCTGGACAAACGACAACAGTGACATGCGTTGGGTTGGAAACGTGCTCAAGACACGGCGCTGCTGGAGCAGCGTCTTTTTGATTAGGACCTCGACGGCGGCCGAATGTTGCAAGTGCGGATGGACGAGTTTGCCGTAGTGCACGGCAGGGACTTCTGGCACGAGAGCTTGGGTATAACTAGCGAATGCACGACTTTGGTCTAGCGCCTTTTGGGCAATTTCTTCGAAGGCAGGCTTGTGGCTCAGGGCCTTGTGCTTGAGCAGGACCGAGTACGACTTGGGCGAGACAAAGAACGTCATGGTCTTCCCACCAAGGCATACGTTGAAGACAGACCC